GAGAGCACAACATTTTACTCCAATGAACATTCTACTCACAGTCCTACACTGAGAGAGCACATCATCAGGCTATAATGAACATTCTACTCAGTCTCACACTGGGTGAGCACATCATCCTACTCTAATGAACATTCTACTCACAGTCTCACACTGAGAGAGCACAACATTCTACTCTAATGAACATTCTACTCACAGTCTCACACTGAGAGAGCACATCATCCTACTCTAATGAACATTCTACTCTCAGTCTCACACCGAGAGAACACATCATCCTACTCTAATGAACATTCTACTCACAGTCTTACACTGAGAGAGCACATCATCCTGCTCTAATGAACATTCTACTCTCAGTCTCACACCGGGAGAGCACAGCATTCTCTCTAATAAAAATTCTACTCAGTCTCACACCGAGAGAGCACAACATTCTCTCTAATAAACATTCTACTCTCAGTCTTACACTGAGAGAGCACATCATCCTGCTCTAATGAACATTCTACTCACAGTCTCACACTGGGAGAGCACAACATTCTACTCTAATAAACATTCTACTCACAGTCTTACACTGAGAGAGCACAACATTCTCTCTAATAAACATTCTACTCACAGTCTTACACTGAGAGAGCACAGCATTCTACTCTAATGAACATTCTACTCAGTCTTACACTGAGGAATCATTCTACCAGGATCATCTGATGGCAAAATAAACATGCAAAACATAAAAGAAGACACCAAAGTCACTTTCTTCCGCTGTTGTCTGCATTTGTCTTTAACCACTATTTGCTTTTCTTTTGTCCCAACAGTGTTTTGTGTTCTCTGATATCACCATGTAAGCGCCATTTTACTATGTACCAATCAAGTTTAATGAGTTCATTAGTGCGCCTCGGTACTGGAATATTGATTGCATTTCAGATACTCCCGTAGTTTAAATTCTTACAGTTTATTATTAGTATTATTTTATTATTTGGCATATATATAGCGCCAACTTATTCCGCTACACCAGATTTGGCAATAGTGGAAGCTGAAAGGGCAGTTTTATAGTTTTTATATTTTTACAGAAGATTTAGGTCTCTCCAATACATATATATATATACACGCTTGCACATGAGGACACACAGCCAAGCTGTTTATATGCTCAGCTTGAGGAGAATGTGACCCAGTTACCTGTATCCATACTTTGGTGGCAGTGTTATCACTCTTTATGGGCACAGTCAGAGTCTCTTATATCTAGAACACACGTAAGCACAGCAGCAACACAAATACTTAGAAAACCGAAATAATTAAGGAATATGAATTGGCCAGTCCATTGCCTTTTAGAGGTTATCTGTTTTCTGTACATTACTGCAACCCCCCAGCGGTTGTTCTTCATTGTAGTCCCTCTAGCATTCTGTATACCATCGCCTTGCACCCCCGGCTTTTTACATACTGTCATTGCCTTTTCTCCTTTACTCTATTTAGCCTCATCTGGGATTGTAGGCAGAGTTTAGCCAAATCAGTGGTGGGTAACCTAATTTAATCAGAGAGCTACGGGCATGTCCCTACAGTACCATCAAGGACCCTACATGTAACACAGGCCAAACCAACTGAATGTTTAAAGAAAATGTAGAATATCATTGTAACATTATAAAAAAAGCTGAAAAATCTGAAGAAGAGGAACCCCCCCCATCTCACATACACATCAGGGGTGCAGGAGAGGTACATTGTACGTTAGCTGAAATTTTGTGTTAAGTCTCAACCCTTCACCTTTTTTGTATTTTAACAATAGGCTTCTATTAGCATGAGGATTATTTGTGATATTTTGTCCAAATTACCCACCGATCCTCAGCAGGAAAAGCATTCTCCTGCCTTGTGCTTCTGAAAAATGTATAAAGGTCGTTTTTCAAATGGTTGGATTAAGGTAATTTTAAAATTACATCTTCTTTGTTAAATTTTTATTATTATATATATAGAGATATATAAAAACAACAGTATTACCATTTGGCTTCCTCCTTGGTATGAGGGTATATTTTACCAGCATGTTGACCCCATTATTTCATACTCACAATGTAATGAGCTCTGTGTACAAGAGTGCGGCCGGCCGGCCCTGGAAATGGATTAATTAACCCTTCCTTTGCCATAAAGACCTGTTATGAAGTGCAGCGTACTTTGTGAGATTGTGTAGGAAGGTAATAGGAAGGGGGAACAAATCCCTGTGTGCTATTAACTCAGCAGTGTGTTTCCATTCGGTGGTACGTTTATATATATATATAGACATATTTATAAAACAGAACCTACCCGCTTTATTGCAAGTAATTATATGGATCGGCAGAAATGTGATACAGCAGGATATTCTCTTTGGAAGGGATGTGGCAGCTTATTTAATTGGTATGAAAAGACAGCTAGAAGACAAAATCAGTTACCTCCTAGTCTGTGCAATCTGTATACTGGGAAATGTAGTCCATAACAACTGGAGTGCCAACCATCAACAATATATGGTTCTTTATCGAAGAATTCTTTATTAAAAATAGTGTACCATAAAAAGTTTAAGCATGTGGGCTCGGTGACCTCTAACCAGTAAACGTCTAGCATCTAGTTGGCTGAGTGTGATTTGATTGGGATGCATGCAGGGACCAACACCTCTTTTAAATCATTGTTAACCGAAAAGACTTGGAATGAACACCTCTCAAGTGTCCCTATTTGAGAGGGGCAGTACCTATTCTGAGCCCAAATCCACCTGTCCCTCTTTTCTAGGAGCTCCATATTGTTGGTGTGTCTGAGTGTATAACAGAGCTCCACAGCAATAATACTCCCAGTAATGTGTCTGAGTGTATAACAGAGCTCCACAGCAATAATACTCCCAGTAATGTGTCTGAGTGTATAACAGGGCTCCACAGCAATAATACTCCATGTAATGTGTCTGAATATATAACAGAGCTCCACAGCAATAATACTCAAAGTAACGTGTCTGAGTGTATAACAGAGCTCCACAGCAATAATACTCAGAATAACGTGTCTGAGTGTATAACAGAGCTCCACAGCAATAATACTCCCAGTAATGTGTTTGAGTGTATAACAGAGCTCCACAGTAATAATACTCCCAGTAATGTGTCTGAGTGTATAACAGAGCTCCACAGTAATAATACTAACAGTAATGTGTCTGAGTGTATAACAGAGCTCCACAGTAATAATACTAACAGTAATGTGTCTGAGTGTATAACAGAGCTCCACAGTAATAATACTAACAGTAATGTGTCTGAGTGTATAACAGAGCTCCACAGTAATAATACTAACAGTAATGTGTCTGAGTGTATAACAGAGCTCCACAGCAATAATACTAACAGTAATGTGTCTGAGCCTATAACAGAGCTCCACCGCAATAATACTCCCAGTAATGTGTCTGAGTGTATAACAGAGCTCCACAGCAATAATACTCCCAGTAATGTGTCTGAGTGTATAACAGAGCTCCACAGCAATAATACTCCCAGTAATGTGTCCGAGTGTATAACAGAGCTCCACAGCAATAATACTCCCAGTAATGTGTCTGAGTGTATAACAGAGCTCCACAGCAATAATACTCCCAGTACTGTGTGAGTGTATAACAGAGCTCCACAGCAATAATACTCCCAGTAATGTGTCTGAGTGTATAACAGAGCCCCACAGTAATAATACCCCCAGTAATGTGTCTGAGTGTATAACAGAGCTCAACAGCAATAATACTCCCAGTAATGTGTCTGAGTGTATAACAGAGCTCAACAGCAATAATACTCCCAGTAATGTGTCTGAGTGTATAACAGAGCTCCACAGCAATAATACTCCCAGTAATGTGTCTGAGTGTTTAACAGAGCCCCACAGTAATAATACTCCCAGTAATGTGTCTGAGTGTATAACAGAGCTCCACAGCAATAATACTCCCAGTAATGTGTCTGAGTGCATAACAGAGCTCCACAGCAATAATACTCCCAGTAATGTGTCTGAGTGTATAACAGAGCTCCACAGCAATAATACTCCCAGTAATGTGTCTGAGTGTATAACAGAGCTCCACAGTAATAATACTCCCAGTAAAGTGTCTGAGTGTATAACAGAGCTCCACAGCAATAATACTCCCAGTAATGTGTCTAAGTGTATAACAGAGCTCCACAGCAATAATACATCCAGTAATGTGTCTGAGTGTATACCAGAGCTCCACAGCAATAATACTCCCAGTAATGTGTCTGAGTGTATAACAGAGCTCCACAGTAATAATACTCCCAGTAATGTGTCTGAGTGTATAACAGAGCTCCACAGCAATAATACTCCCAGTAATGTGTCTGAGTGTATAACAGAGCTCCACAGCAATAATACTCCCAGTAATGTGTCTGAGTGTATAACAGAGCTCCACAGCAATAATACACCCAGTAATGTGTCTGAGTGTATAACAGAGCTCCACAGCAATAATACTCCCAGTAATGTCTGAGTGTATAACAGAGCTCCACAGCAATAATACTCCCAGTAATGTGTCTGAGTGTATAACAGAGCCCACAGCAATAATACTCCCAGTAATGTGTCTGAGTGTATAACAGAGCTCCACAGCAATAATACTCCCAGTAATGTGTCTGAGTGTATAACAGAGCCCACAGCAATAATACTCCTAGTAATGTGTCTGAGTGTATAACAGAGCTCCACAGCAATAATACTCCCAGTAATGTGTCTGAGTGTATACCAGAGCCCCACAGCAATAATACTCCCAGTAATGTGTCTGAGTGTATACCAGAGCTCCACAGCAATAATACTCCCAGTAATGTGTCTGAGTGTATACCAGAGCCCCACAGCAATAATACTCCCAGTAATGTGTCTGAGTGTATAACAGAGCTCCACAGTAATAATACTCCCAGTAAAGTGTCTGAGTGTATAACAGAGCTCCACAGCAATAATACTCCCAGTAATGTGTCTGAGTGTATAACAGAGCTCCACAGCAAAAATACTCCCAGTAATGTGTCTGAGTGTATAACAGAGCTCCAAAGCAATAATACTCCCAGTAATGAGTCTGAGTGTATAACAGAGCTCCGCAGCAATAATACTCCCAGTAATGTGTCTGAGTGTATAACAGAGCTCCACAGTAATAATACTCCCAGTAATGTGTCTGAGTGTATAACAGAGCTACACAGTAATAATACTCCCAGTAATGTATCTTTAAACTACAATAAATGTGTTTAGAAACCAGTCTGTGTGAATAAGATGCATTGTTCTTGTTATAAATTAAATTAAATTCTTATTAGTAATTCACAGCTGAAACCCCCATAATATGTGTCCCTAATGGTATATATATTAATCTGTTTATTTAGAATGGACTTCCCAGTTGTACAGCGCTGCGGAATATGTAGGCACTTTATAAATATCAGTAATAAATAAATTAAATAAATATAATAATGGATTTATAGTTATGGACTGATTGTGGAAGGAAGCCCTAAACACAGGTGAGTAGCAATGTGTAAGTGAATCCATATAACCTAGCTAGCACACATACAGTCTGTGCATAGTGTGGGGAGAGCTAGGACCCCCCCTCTCCCAGCAGAGGGTTAAGGGGGAGGTGTCCCTTTAAGGGGCGTGTCCCGGTATCGCACTGCTGGGCGGGGACAGCCGATCCCCTAGCAACACTCAGTGTTTACCTGGATACCTGGAACCGGAAGCAGCAGGTACATTGGGGGGAAAGGGAGAGCACAGCAAGAGCTATTACTGCCCCCAGGTTACTGCACTACCTACCTCATGGGGGGGAGGGGGAGCACAGTAAGTGGGTCCAGCTATTACTGCCCCCAGGTTACTGCACTACCTACCTCATGGGGGGGAGGGGGAGCACAGTAAGTGGGTCCAGCTATTACTGCCCCCAGGTTACTGGACTACCTACCTCATGGGAAGGCGGGAGGGGTAGCACAGTAAATGGGTCCAGCTGTTACCGCCCCCAGGTTACTGGACTACCTACCTCATGGGAAGGGGGGAGGGAGAGCACAGTAAGTGGGTCCAGTTATTACCGCCCCCAGGTTACTGGACTACCTACTTCATGGGAAGGGGGGGAGGGAGAGCACAATAAGTGGGTCCAGCTATTACTGCCCCCAGGTTACTGGACTACCTACCTCATGGGAAGGGGGGGAGGGAGAGCACAATAAGTGGGTAAGTGGGTCCAGCTATTACTGCCCCCAGGTTACTGGACTACCTACCTCATGGGAAGGGGGGGAGGGGGAGCACAGTAAATGGGTCCAGCTATTACCGCCCCCAGGTTACTGGACTACCTACCACATGGGAAGGGGGGGAGGAGGGGCACAGTATGTGGGTCCAGCTATTACCGCCCCCAGGTTACTGCACCACCTACCTGAGGGGGAGGGGGAGCACAGTAAGGGGTCCAGCTATTACTGCCCCCAGGTTACTGGACTACCTACCTCATGGGAAGGGGGCGAGGGGGAACACAGTAAGTGGGTCCAGCTATTACTGCCCCCAGGTTACTGGACTACCTACCTCATGGGAAGGGGGGGAGGGGGAGCACAGTAAGTGGGTCCAGCTATTATTGCCCACAGGTTACTGCACTACTTACCTCATGGGAAGGGGGGGAGCACAGTAAGTGGGTCCAGCTGTTACTGCCCCCCAGGTTACTGCACTACCTACTTCATGGGAAGGGGGGGGGGATTCAATCCCTATGATCCTCTCTCCCTCTTCCTCTGATACCACAGTTGAGCTTTTTGTCTTATTCTTGGTCATGTAAAATATACAATAAATAGTATCATCTTCATACAGTGTATGATCATTAAACAAACTTTGTGGCTAAAAGTTAAATTAAAATTTAGTGTACTGTGTATATATATATATATATATATATATATATATATATATATATATATATATATATATATATATAGCAAGTCGTATGGCTTGACTGGTGTGCAGATTTTTGTTTAACATTATATATATTTATAATACAAACACTATACAGTATATTTTCTACATTTAGAAGAACATACAGAAATTATTATTATTTTGTTTTTTACTTTTGTAGATTCTTTTATATTTTAAATATGAACTATTTGTTAATAAACAAGGACTTTGTAATCATTCAAAGTGTGTACACATTTTTGGGGACACCCTGTGTATATCACAAAGATATACCGATTACGGGATCAGGATAAATCTGACCCGTAGTCTGAAAGGTGGGTCACTGAGGTAATTTGGGCAAAACCCAAAATAAATTCACAAATAAACTGGTAGGGGAAGGAGCCTAACTCAAAGCGAAAGAAACCAACTCCACTGGAATTACCTCAAATATAAATCATTTTAATATGATAGCAAAGAAAACAAAATAATAGACTAATGTAATTTTATTAAACAAGGACCTACATATACAAATTCTAAAATAATTGAGAAAGTGTGATAAAAGTGCGGGGAAATACACACATATATATATATATGAAACGGGGGGGGGAGGGGGGGGATAGTGGATGGATAGTGTAGGTAGATGTTCTCAAAGCCTCAGAGCATAGAATCTATAGGGCCCAGTAGAAAGGCTTCCTCTATCCCTTTAACTCTTTGTGGTTTATATGGGGAATATATCCCGGGGTGCGACAACCCTTCAATTTTATCAATCAAAGGGTTGACGTGTTGTTAAGGGAAAGGATCGCACAGGGTACGAGAATAGAGATGTGGGGGCAGAGGTGTCTCGAAAGCCTTGTTCTGCAATACACACATGTTTATTTTCACAATTACATTGTAAATCCAGATACTGAAATATTCAAATGATTTGTTTCCTGTCAAATTACTTTTCTGTGAAAAAAGAGATAGCTCTTAAGTATAGATAGATTCAGCCATTTTAGAGTTTACATGTTATTTACATGTTATTTTTCTAAATGAATGTTTGTAACTGCGTAGATTTAAAAAATTAGTGGAAAACTTTCAAGAAAAATATAGAGACTTTCTGGGCACCATAAGTACTTCATCTCGATGTGGGCAACTGCAGCCCTCATTCAGTGTTGAACTGTTCAAAACCATTTAAAGGAGCACTATAGGGTCAGGAACCCTATAGGGTTAAAATTACTATAACCACTAGCCCCCCTGGCTCCCTCATGCCTCCCTAAATATAGTTAAATCTTACTTGTATTTAAGTCTGGAGCTGCTTACTTTGTCCCTGTTTCCTTTAGACCTGCCCACTGCCTGCTGACATCAGCAGAAGTGATAGCCTGATCCAATCACAATGCTTGGATCCCCATAGGATTGGCTGAGACTGACAAAGAGGCAGAGCCAGCACAATTCAAACACACCCCTGGCCAATCAGCATCTCCTCATAGAGATGAATTGAATCAATGTATCTCTATGAGGAAAGTTCAGTGTCTGCATGCCGAGGGAGGAGACACTGAATGTTTGGATGCATTTTAGGCAGCCATGACCCAGGAAGGATCTCTAACAGCCATCTAAGGAGTGGCCAGTGAAGTTATCACTAGGCTGTAATGTAAACACTGCATTTTGAAAAGACATTGTTTACAGCAAAAAGTCTGATTATACTCACCAGAACAAATTCAATAAGCTGTATTGTTCTGGTGACTATAGTGTCCCTTTAACATTAAATAGTGGGATGGCAGCAAGAGACTCCAGGCACTATAGCCACTACAATGAGCTGAAGCAGTAATGATGCCCAGAGTGTCCCTTTAATGTTGTTGTTTTTTTAAATTAATTGTTATAGACATATAGCAAAACACTAAAATATATCATGAACACTTTATGTAATTGAAGTGGTTACAGTGATATAATTCTGTCTCTCTAGTCTTTACTATTCGTTTGTTGAGTAAGTCTACCTATATGGTTTTATAGCGGTGGCCTTGCAGCCCTGTCAGACATCACGTAGTGACACTTTTTGGGTATTGCACCATTTCATGCCAGTGTTTGTTTTTTAAATTTTTTTTTAATTAAAGCAGATCATCCCTTGAAATGTTGATTAAATGTAAATGGCAGTAAAAAATAAAAATGTTCCTTTATTTAGAGGTTCTCTCTAGTCTAGATCAGGGGTAGGCAACCTTCGGCACTGCAGATGTTGTGGACTACATCCCGCATAATGCTCTTACACCAATAATGCTAGCAAAGCATAATGGGAGCTGTAGTCCAAATCATCTGGAGTGCCGAAGGCTGCCTTTGCCTGGTCTAGATGAAGAGGCACGTAGAAAGTTTGCAGTGGGTCTAGCTATGGCTGCTAAATTTAATCAAATGTGGTCACAATATCCATATGCCCTATATGTTGAGCACCCAGAAATTCAAATTTTTTTTTTTAATTGTACATTTTTTGGTAATTTTTGAGGCAACTCAGCTAATTTTGAATTTTATGTCAAGACACGGAGGCTCATATAGCTTAACCCTTTCTTTACTGCAAAGAATACAACAGTAAGAAAAAATGGTTACCATAGTGATAGGCCACACCCATGCCAAGTCCCAGTATAATAGTCAGCACCTCCCCACATATTTCCTCTTTCTTTGCTGCCACCAAACAAGATAAGTACATGACAAATTTTCTCTTCCATATATGTTTCTTAATTATCATTAATTTCATATTATTAATGCTATTTATTATGTCATTGTTATCATTTGTTGCAGACTCATTATTGCTTTATTTTCTTCATATTATTACGAATTTGTACTTCTATTTATTCTTCTACGGTTATTGTGTATAATGCATTTGTTTGTTACCTTTGAGCCCAGGGTTCCAGACCTTCTTTAGGGTACTACTATTTTTATCCCTCTCCCTTGAGCTTCCTTTTGTTGCTCTTATCTTTTCTCCGTTTGCCTCATCTCCTTCTTGCTGTCTGTGGCTCCATTGCTCCTTCTCCCTGTCTTTTTGGCGGCCTTTTGCGCCTGTTTTTCCTATCCGTTCGGCTGTTTTTCGTGAATGAATCAAGTCCATTCGGCTAAATTCATCACACAACCATGCTGTTAGTTTATTTTACTGGCATCGACTAATTTTATTTGAATGGTTTGCTCGTTCGTCTGTTTTTCCTATTCATTCTATTTATCTATTTGTTCACATGAATTCGTCTCTCTTTTGCAGAACGTTCGGCTCTTTAATTTGACGAATTCACGTGATTTTTTGCCACGAATCTCACTAGATTGCTGGCGGACATTTTGTGACATCCTGTCCTGTCCTTCTGACTCTTTGCTCTGTCTTATGTTTTTCTTCCTGTCTGGCCCCTGGTGAGCTCCCTATCTCTACCCTCTTAAAGGTATAGCTAGTCTGGTGTGATTAACTCCTGCTAGTCTCTTTTGTCATTTTAGTTTTTAATTTCACTCCTTACACTACTTTATATATATTTGTAGTCAAAGGGGAAATTTCACAGCATTACTATGCCAAAATTCAAAGTGCCTGCCAGTCCCTTTTTTCCCCTGGGGAGATGGACATACCCCAAGTTTTGGGTAACCCCTCTTCCAGCTCTATTCCCCTTCTTCTGCAGTAGACCCTATGCCTAATGAAGCCCAGTCCCTGGCACTACAGCGTTCAGTTTATGGCCGCTATTGGGCTCCATGTCCTCTGCCCTCTCCCAGATCATATCACAGGCCTTACTTGTACACCCTTTAGCCGCAGAAGGTTTGGCGCTTTGCACTTCCCGATCCAGGCCTTACAGGGAACACACCTAAAAAGGCTACCGCCAAATCCAGGCACTTAGGTCCCTCTGCCTCCAAACCAATATGACGGGTGCACCCATGACCACCCATGATCGCGTGCCCATGTCACGCAAATGAGCCTTCCCGCACCAGGCAGAATGGGCGCGGCAGTGGAAACTTGCTAGAGCACAAAAAGAGAGCGACTCCGACTCAGAAATCGGGACTAGTGAGGAGGCTGATGCGGAGTCTGTGTGTGACTCTGACGATGAGGTATGCGGGCAGGACACTGACCCCTTTTGTCCCCGCTCAATCGGGAATGGTAGTGAGTAGCTCTTGAAGCGACTCCCCCGCTACTGCGGGCTCCACCCTCATTGATACGTCTGGGGAACCTATGTTTGACCCGGATGCTCTTCATCATCCAAGGTCGGCGGAATGGCTCCCAGCGGACCAGGTGGCACAATACCTGGAAAATTGGGTACGGCGCCCCCTTAGCAAGGCGGCGTGTAATAAACTCAGGGCAGAATGTCCTAGACCTCTGGTGCTCAACAAAGTCAGTGAGACCCCTATTGTCGTTCCTGAGATTCCTCTCAAAGTTGGGATGGTATCCCGCAAGGGCTTAGATTTGGCACTTACATCATGCCAGGATATACATCTGGACATATTTGGTCCTTTGGCCAAACTATTTGACCTGGCTGTAATCACCAGAACCGAAAATAGGCAGGTTGATCTGGAGGAACTCTGTGGCTGGGTGCAGACGTCAATATGCATAGCAGGCTGTGTAACACCTCCCTGTCCATAGAATGGCGTAAAGCTATTCTTTTCAAATTGAGCCCAAACTCACCGACCTCGCCCTCACTGAGGCGGGCAAGGATGCCCATGGCCTGTTATTTGGGGACTCCTTTATAAAGGACCTGGGATGCTTTGTGGGTGCTTTTAAAGCCTTGGATAAAGCCCAATCCTCTATGAAGAGGGTATTTCGGGTACCTGTCTCTACTAGGGCCGGCAGATTTAAGGGTCGTCTGCCCAGCCGTTCCAGTTACCACGCTCGTGGATCGGGACGAGGCTCCTACACCCAGAGACCACCCTACCAGGAGACGAGACACCAGGCCCCCCCTTCTTCCCCTCTTGTGGAAGACCATGGCTTTAGAGGGAACTCCGGTTCCAGACGTTATGGGAAGCTTACATCTACCCCATGTTTTTTCCAATAGTAGTGTAGGGGGCAGGCTCCGTAATTTTTTCCGAAGCCTGGTCAACTGTCACCCCCGATGTCTGGGTCCTGACCACTGTTCAGGGGTTTTCACATCGAGTTGGTCAACACTCTGGGTCACATTCCCCCTCCTCCCCCTATTTCGCTCTGTGTGACCAACCGCGCCTTCATAGACGTGGAACTATTGGCCCTCCGCGCGAAAGGGGCACTTGAGCTAGCACCTATATCCCCTACAGGGTTCTCAGCTACATTTTCCTAGTAGAATGAGGAGCGGGCAGATACGCCCAGTTATCAACCTCTGGGCCCTAAACACTTTGGTACGCTACCGCCACTTCAAGAAGGTGGGCATTCATCTCCTGCGGGACTTGCTACTTCGGGGAGACTGGATGGTGAAGTCAGACCTCGAGGACGTATACTTAACAATCCCAGTGACCGAGGCGTCCAGGGACTTATTACGCCCCCTTTGTAAAGGCGACACCTGGCGCTTTACATGCCTCCCTTTTGGACTCTCATCAGCTCCTTGGTGCTTCACAAATTGATGCGCCCTGCCATGGCTTGAGTGTGCAGTCCAGGAGTTCGGCTGATAGTCTACTTGACGACAGCTTCATCATGACACCGGATCGTTCGCACCTCCTGAAGCACCGGCAATGGACGATGGATCTCCTCTCTCGCCTGGGTTTTTCCTCCTCAACTGGAAAAATTCCTGCCTGTCCCCTTCGCAATTCATGGAGTTCCTCGGGTTCAACGTAGACTCCGAAGTGGAATCACTCAGCCCCCCTCTGTCTAAGGTACGGTTCATCCGCAAGTAATTACGCTGCACTCTAACGCGCCCTCAGCTATCGCTGCGTCATCTGGCACGGATCATTGGCCTACTGGCTTCATCAATCCAGGTGGTGTTCCCAGTCCCTCTCCACTACCGTGCCCTCCAACGTCTGAAGATTGCACACCCTCACAGTGGGACATCCTATGCGGACATGGTCTCTCTGGACTCGGAAACTCAGGATGAATTGACCTGGGGAATCCACAACCCCTCGACCAGGAATGGCAAGGCCATCTTCGGTTTCCACCCGGTGTTCACGGTGGATTCAGATGCAAGTCTCCACGGTTGGGGTGTCCACTGCAACTTTCGCAACCCGGAATCTTGCGAACGGGGCGACCAGTGCGCGAATCAGGCTGCGCTTGGACAACATCTCTGCAGCTCTCTAGGTTAACCACATGGGCGGTACGCAGTCGGCTGTTCTGGCCCGCTGGGCGAAGGACTTTTGGGCCTACTGTTTGGCCAGGATTCTGGTCATCAGGGCAGAATACCTCCCCGGTCTCCACAAAAGTCATGCGGAATGGAGTTCACGCTATCTGGTGGACAGCAGCGATTGAAACTTGGATGTTGAGGTGTTCTCCACGCTCTCGTTGCTCGGGTGATCTTTTGCCATCGATCTCTTCACAACCCGGCTTACCACCCAATTACTTCAGTTCTACAGCTGGCACCCAGATCCAGCCACGGAGGCAGTGGACCCCTTCCTGCAAAAATGGACCGGCTCACTCCTTAACGCCTTTTTTGCTCCATTTGCCATGATCCCTCGGGTCCTGCTCCAAGTACACTGCCAAATGGCTGACCTGATCCTGCTGCCCCGCTCTGGGGGACCCACAGCGCCTGGAACTGGCAATAGAGGTGCCCAGACTTCTCCCATCATGCCAGGACCTCCTTCTGGACCCGTCGGGCCAACGACACTCCCTCCTACTGGACGGGTTGTTGCTGCTGCTCTCATGAAGGATTTCAGGGGTCCCTAGGAAATCCAAGGGGTTTTCGGATGCAACTCAACGCCTCCTGGCTGATACATGGGCTCCCAGAACTAGACGAGCATATGGGACCACTTGGAGAGCTTCGGCTGGCTGGTGCCTGGCTTGGAACTTAGATCCCGTTTCGGCACCTGCGACTGCAATCCTCCAATTCCTCACTTCGTTATTCAAGGCACTCTTTTACCTCCTGGCCTCCCAATACGGATCTCTCCCTGCGACAACTGTCAGCCAAGTTGGTTTTCCCTTTTTTGCCTCATTTCATGCACAGGGGTTTCGGACGTACGTGCCCGGGACTACGATGCTAGGTCTTTCACTCCGGACAGGGTGACTCTTCACATCTCCAGACGCACTAAGACAGCTGCTTGGTAAGTTTCGTATCTGAGTTTTCCGGTTACCACGGTGTTATGTCCAGTGAGCTGTTTGCAGGAATATGAGCTTTGGACGAGTGCACATCGTTTGGCTTCTTCCCCTCGATTTTTCCTCTTTGTTCGTCACCCCTTTACCCTGTGTCCAGTACTACCTTGGCTCGCTGGGCAAAATGGGTGATCTGGCTGGTGTGGATACACCCATCTTTAGCGCCCATTACTCCCGGGGGCATCAGCCATGTCTATGGTGGCTTTGGGGGCACGTCTGGGAAACCTGATGAGGATGGCGGACTGGTCCTGTGACTCCATTTTTCGTGAGGTTGACTTTCGACTTATGCCCCACGCTTTTTCTTCTGTTATTGATCAGCTTTAAACTTGCACTATGAGCCTCCGTGTCTTGACATAAAATTACATGATTTTGCTATTTCATGACGAAAAGTCATGATTTTATGAAAGACACAGAGGCGAGTATTGTCCCACCCTTTTACGTTTCAGTAACTTGATTATCCCCCCCTGTTGTTTTTGTTTCTCAGGTTTGTTTCCAGGGGATGGTAGGTAATTGTGATGCGCTTTGTGTTTATATTACCTCTTATGTTTCCTCTGACCTGCTAATGTTATATTTTGTCTGGTGGATTTTGTGTCTTGCGTTATGGGCACTGTGTTGCTTTAGTTTATCAATACATTATGTCTTGGCATGCGCAATTTTGTTCAAGTACCAATTTCACCGTTCGGCTTCTGTTTTTATGTTTTCACAGGTTGACACTGTGCTGTTTCTGTGCTGTTTGGGGATCTTCACCACTTCCCACAAGGCTTCATCAGGATCTATAGATCGTTCTGTGATGGGCTTCTCACTGTTGGCATTTTCTCTATTCATCGTGGATTGGTCCCAGTTTGCTTGTGGTTCCTGATCTGTGTCCGGCTGGATTTCGGGACGGTTGTTCTGCTGTGATTTGGACTGATTCATCGGTTTATGTTTGTTGGTTATTGGGTCGCATCTCCAAAGAAAGAGGAAATATGTGGGGAGGAGCTGACTATTATACTGGGACTTGGTATGGGAGTGGCCTATTACTATGGTTACCATTTTTTCTTACTGTTTTTATTCTTTGCTGCTATTGGTGGACAGGAAAGAAAGGGTTAAGCAATACTCACCTCTGTGTCTTTCATAAAATCATGACTTTTTGTCATGAAATAGCAAAATCATGTAATTTGAACTCTATAATGTTTTTAATATGTCCATGGTTAAGTTGGGAATGGAGGAGCCATCTGGCTAATGCTGCATTCTATTGGCTTGACACCAAATACAGCTATATTTTTTATAGTCTATGGGACCAGAAGGACACACTGCATTGCAATGCTGCAGCCAATCAGTGATCAGGACAGCGGATATGGAGAAATCATTGAGCCACCTACATCATTGTGGAAACTTGTCGAGGAGCAGGTCCCCGTGAGTGAAAGGGCCGAAATCAAGAGAATTCTGGGAGATTCAGCTGTTGACCTCAGTTTAGAGCTGAATGCAGAGGTTAGTACCATGTGAACTGTTTGTACTTTGTCCAGATGTTATTGACTGGTCCAGAAGGAGTATGTGTTTTATAAAAGGTGGTACATTTTAATATCATCCTCTAAAGTTTTACCTAGTCTCCTACAGGACTGCCAGATTTTACCACACTTACCTGGACACCTGTTACTTCCTCCCAGTGATGAGCGATACATGAAAAGTCCTTCCCTGTAGTACGTAGAATTTATGTGCTTGATGTAGTTCCTTTCGAATTCTTAAAAACTCATCAAATTCCTGTCCAGCAGGTGTTTATGGGATGTGTATTTCAACCCCAGCCTCAGTTTTACTCCTCAGATTAGATGGGTAGAAATTCTAAATAAATAGTTTGCAGCCATACAGAGCATTCATAGGGGTTATGAATAAACAGGGTTCTGCTCCGAACAGTGATCCAAATGTGAAAAAGGGCCAGAGTCACCAATGGAACGAGCCTCCTTGTTCCACTGGTTTCCATAGTGATTGTCCCACTTAGTACCTTAGACGCCTTTTTACAACAAAACACAGTTCATACATAATCCTAATAGTTTTGTGCAAAGCCATGACCCAGAAGGAGGTAGGGACATGTATGTGGATTGTACCCTCCCTTCGTGTGCATATGGACACTGTGACGGACCGCTGGCAGTCCGACTTACACCATCAGCACTGCGGACCCCACTTCCAGCGATGCAGCTGCGCCGTGGTCTCGCCGTCTCTCACCCATCCTGGATCCACGACCAGGATCAAGCTCCCAGTGGGTGAATCTCTCCTATATCCAGAGAGCATAGCAGGAACAAATGAAGCTCTTACAAGAGCTTACTCTGGGGAGTAAGTGATTATAGCAATCCCCAGAGTGTAGCAATCCCCAGAGAGGGCTACCTGCCCGGTATTTATGCAAGTGTCCACCAGGTGGACACTCCCCTAGGGGACCTGATGGAACATATTGGATATTAGCCAATCACCGACAATACAAACAAAACACTCCCACAGTGACATCACAATCCCTCCTCTCTATCCTGGAGATAATTGGGAAGTAATCAAATTATCTCCCAGAACAGAGGCAAGACTCCATTAACCACATGGTTGCAAAAAGACATAAAATTACACAATTTTACAATTACTACATAAAACATATACATGCGACATATCCCCAGATTATTACCAAATGGCGCTCAGATCACATACATACAGCTCAAGTGCCATGGAGCCAAAGTCCTTTCCATAGTCTTTTGTTACACGAATAGGCTCCATGGCATAGCTATCTGGGGTAGCACTACTCACGTACTGAAAGTCCCGAACGCCCCAGCAGAAATACACAAATAAACCTTATTGCAGGGTAAAATACAGCTATCAGCACAGGGGCCATAGTCGGAAGGCAGGAGGCTAGCCAGTAGTCCCCTCCAGGCACAAGTGGCTAAGGGCACTTCGTCACAGACACGTTGGATGGATACCAAACGAGGATGTAAAATATTTGATGGTCTGGGCCACTTATGGCAGGTAACAGCTGAGATACGATTGCCTCGGATAGATATAATTGCCTTGGTAAACTCCATACTGCTACATTTTAGAGTTAGTTTACTAAATGTTCTATCCTCTGAAATTTAGCAACTGAGTTGATTCAGATCAGTTGGAAACCATCCAAAATCAGACTAAATGGCTCCAGATAACTGAAGAATCACACAGGAACAGGTCATCTGCTTCTTCCTTGTTCTTCGGTAATTTTTTTTTTTTTTTTGCTTACTGTGTCATTTTCACAAATTTCTTCTAACACCAACATTTAACTTCAAACCAGCAGCACTCTGACTAACCCATTTTTTCGGCGTTCATTTTAGGCAACCGCGCTGCATCTGTTAGTCATCAGTTACTGTATTATGAAATAATATCTTCTCTTTCTAAGAAAAGTTTCCTAAGCGTGAGTTATAAACATTTCCAAATCTGGCCTCGGGCACTGTGCAGTGAAGGTAACAGTAAGCGGCGTAGGAGGTGCATGTGCGGTATGTGTAAAAAGTTTCCCTGCAAGTACTTAATTGCCAGAACTAGGGTTTGTGTTTCTTTTTCTAGGACATTTAATAATTCTTATTTCTGTTAGGCAATGCTTGAAAGTGCTGCCTGGCAAATTGCGTAATTTATGTGCTAAGAGTGCAAGATCAATAATTTAATCACAACTGCGATCCTAGATGAAACACTGTGATTTGTTAAGGGTACGCCACTGCCCAAATTAAAAAAACAAAACACTATTTAGTAGATCGACACACAATGCCTTTAATTAAGCATTTTTAAAAATTGGGATATACCTAATAGCAGCTTCCAAAATCTGAAGATCTCTTGTCTGCAGTCTTTGCAAGCCCTCCCCTTCTGACCCTGCCCAGACTTTCTGTGGCTGTCCAATCACAGACTTACCATTGCAGCTCAGTGAGCAGTCTTTGCAAGGCAGGTGCTCTGGGCAAATGCTGACTCCTGAATTTAGGTTTAGATTAACAATAAATGAATGAATAAGGTGAATGACTAGGGAGGGAGAGAGTCCAGAATCAGAAGAAAAAGACACATTACTATGGTGTGAGCGAGGTAGAGCAAAAAAGAAAGAAAGAATGCAATAGAAAAATCTTAGTTGAAATAATCCTACATAACCTGTCTTTATTCCACATCCCCTCCAAACAAAATAGGGCAATTGAAAGGGTGCAGGAACTAAATTAACACATCGCTCTACAATTATTTATATAGCACCAACATATTTTGCAGCTCTGTACAATAGAAACAATATAATACAAACATTTAACCCCTTAAGGACACAACTTCTGGAATAAAAGGGAATCATGACAGAAGGGGTTAATTCTATCAAAACATGTTTGACATAGGGAATTGTACGTGAAGTGGGCCCTGCTCAAACAAGCTCACAATCTAATGGGATGAGGGACAAATACACAAGGACAGTGAGGAAAACAAGTGATGCCTGGTGGACCGCGGTGGCCATGGGCTGAGGCCGGCAGGGGAAATGCTGCATTCCTTGACGGGCCGGCTAGGAGATCAAAGATGGTCCACTATCACTAACAAGCGGCCGCCAGCTGGGGAAGGAGGGAGAGAGGACCTGGCAGAGTTCTATTTTGCAGCTCCGCCCGGTTCCTCTCGCGAAATCCGGAGTGTTGCCACATACTGCACCCCTAAACACATTACATTCCAGACACACACTAGATCCTTATATACACTCTGAATCTGCTATATACACACACTCACTAGATCTCCTATACACATTCTGGGTCCTTCAAGCACACACTAGATCCCTATACATACTCACTCTGGATCCCCTATTCACGCACACTAGATTCCTTGTGTGAAGAATCCCCCTCCATTCATTCGATACTTTCCCTCCCTGCTACTTTATTCATGGATTTATTACTGTGACGAAGTGCCCTTCGCCACTTGTGCCTGGAGAGGACTGCTTGCCCGCCTCTTGCCCTGTGACTATGGACCCTGGGAGATTTGGCCCGTTCAATTCAGTATGATAGGAGTTATGTATTTTTGTATCCTTTTGTGTTGTACTGGGAACATGTGCTAATTGAGTCTGCCTCTATCCCTGGATAATTGGATTATTTTCCCCATTGTCTCCAGGATAGAGGGCTCTGTAAAACCAGTTTGGGCCAGATATCCATGCTGCCAGCCAGGCCCCAAAAGATACTTTACTAACTTCTGAACCCCTGGTCTGATTCATGCCATTTTTTGATATGTTGTTTTCCTGAATGGATTGATTGTGAATATATATTTTTTATGTGAATGTGATGTATATTTTAGAAGTTATGAATATGCTGTAAAAACTGTATTTTTCCTACCTGTGATAATTGAATCTTCTATTGTATAAGATAATTGAATCACAGGCAGAGGGGAGGATTTTGTGTGGGCTGTAACCTCTGTTTTATTGGCTACTGTAGATAACGTGTGTGTCCCTCCCCTGCATGGGAGCAGGGCATAAAAGAAACTGTAGCTTGAATACCTGTTGTTGTTACTTCCAGTAAAGTCTTGTTCCAGCATTAAGCCTTGGCTCATGTTTGGGGGATTGGAAAACTACACTCGAGGGATTGCTATAATCACTTACTCCCCAGAGTAAACTCTTGCAATAGTTTGATTTGTTCCTGCTACGCTCTCTGGATTTAGGAGAGGTTCACCCACTGGGAGCTGGATCCTGGTCGTGGATCCAGGGTGGGTGGAGACGGCGAGACCCCGGCGCAGCTGTATCGCTGGAAGTGGGGTCTGCAGTGCTGATGGTGTCAGTTGGAGTGCTTGGAGTCCTCAGCGAGCACTAGGCGCATCGATTGGTGGAGGTACTCAGTCGGAGTGCCAGCGTTCCGTCACACCTTGTAAGCAAACAGATACTGCATTCCATAAACACACACTCTCCACATCCCGTACAAACTCTACATCACCAATACACACATACACACTTTCTACATCTCCTAGACACACACTGTCTACAGCCTCTAGCCACACATGCATTACATTACACCACAAACACAACACGACTAAAACCGTCCTTATTACACAATACCACACCAGAATTAGCTCACTCTACATACACGCAATCTCACAAGCAGGCTCCAAACACATGCAAAGTACTCTTTCTGGCCCTTTTGTCTCCTGGTATGTCATTTATAGAGACACCAGAGACAAGTTGCAAGGAAACACAGTGCAAGCATGTTATTAAATTTAAATGCAAAAAGAAAAGTCCTGCGCTCACTCCATCACTCCTGGGCGGCAGCAACGACCACAGTACACACCAGCTCCAATACATACAGTAAAAAAAAAAGAAAAAGTTACCTGTGCTCTCTCCTTAATCCCTAGGTATATTTAAACAAATGGAGGTCATTTAGTTACTCCAATGGCCGCTTTTCTTTTTGTATTTGGATTCACTTTTTGTATCACACAGCTAGCTTACAATGCTGCCACCCATCCCATGTGTTCCCTATTAAGGGTTAATAAGTATATAGGGGTGTAGATAAAATATACCCATTTCTGTCTCATTAGAGATATCTTTGCCAGAAGCTCAAGAAAGCCAGGTGAAGGGTCAGAGTAGCACCCGTCTAGGGGGGTCTGCCTTGACGTTGGCAGTCGGGCATTCCCTCCAGTGGCCATTGGAGTAACTAAATGACCTCCATTTGTTTAAATATACATAGGGATTAAGGAGAGAGAGTAGGCAACTTTTTTTTTTCCCTTTGTTTTTACTATATATTATTAAATTAGCTTGCAGTGTGCAGGACATATGCAGGGCCTTTTTCTCATGCTAGAGCTCTTCAGCAGAGCTCTGCGCATGGTCTGCCCTGTAAGAGCATTGAACCAACATGCTCACTTTGAGAGGGGACGTGCTTGTCATTGGTGATGACAAAACACACCCTCTCTGCCCCGCCCCATTCATAGTGGGCTGCTGTAATTAAAAAATGCCCGGGCCAAATTTTTTTCCCAGTCCAGCCCTGAATGTACCTGAGAATGGGGGCAGGGGGGGGTGTTTGGGAGGAGGGAGCAGCACAGATGGGAGATGGCAGAGGAAGGTTGTTAAGAATGAGGAGTTAAGGGGCGAGCGGATAGGATTCTCTAAAGAAGTATGTTTTATAAAGAGATTTTATAAAGGACTGCAGAGATGGGGAAAGTTGGATGTCTCTCAGGAGGCCATTCTATATGCAGGAGGCAGCCGTGGAGAGGTTTTGCTGGAGTTTGGGGTGTGGGTGTGAGAATAGGATAGTAACTGGACATCAGCAGAGCAAAGAAGCCAGGCTGTAACATATCTGCTAATAAGGGAACAGATGTAAACAGGGGCACGGTTATGTAGAGCTTCGTATTATTGAACCAAATCCTAAGTTAAACAGGAAGCCGGTGTGAAGACTGACAGAGGGGTGAGAGTTGCTGGACGTAAGATAGATGAGTTTGGCAGAGGTGTTCATAGTGGACTGTACAGGGGCAATCTGGGCACTTTTCAGTCCCCAGTAGAGGGATACAATAATCAAGGCAAGACACAACGAGAGCATGGACAGGCATCTTTGTTCCGTCCTAAGTGATAAAGGGTTGAATGCGGGGAACCTTATTAAGGTGAAGGCGACAGGATTTGGTGATAGATTTTATGTGAAGGAAAGGCCAGAATCAGATAGCACACCCAGGCACCACCTGCGGTTGGAGGTTATAAATTGATCGCTGACCTTATGGTGGAGGTGTGATTGGAGATATATTACAGCCAATGATACCAGGGGCGCTATATACATTGGATCTGTTTACAGAACCTCCTTTTCTGTGCTGGTCTATTTTAACCTTACTTTGCTATGCAAGTGTGAATTTAATACGGTTTCATATTAAATGAATAAACCCCTGTGCATTGTATATTATATACAATATCATAAGAACTCTTTGCATTTTGTGCTGATATGTTTAAATTCTGTATTATGAAAAATAAATAATCTCATGCAATTATTCACTTTCTTAAATGCCTTTTTAGAATGCTGAAGTCAAGGTATGACTTCAGTGTAATGAGTTACAATTGTTTTTGGAAAGATCACACCTTGGATGCTGAGCATTTAGATATGACTTCAGTTCACTTACAATGGAATGTACTTTGCCAAGATTCAGCTGTTAAAAGATGAACTGAAAACGTATTATTATATAAAATCGAAGCAAGTAAAACAAAACTGTTTATGACAATCTATATCAATATTCTGGAATTCTTTTTTTGAATTTTTTTTTTATTACAGCTACCCTGGAATTTTTATGGTACAATTTAAGTGACTTTGCAAATGGGGAATTTAACAAGTTTTCGCTCAAACTTGCACAAGTTTAACAAATACACAATGTTTGTTGGATTGGCCTGTGTGCCTCTTCTCATTCCCCTTTCTTTCGGAGTCCTCTCTCTTGTGGAAGTCTACTCTCTGATCTTCTCATTCCCCTTTCTTTCAGAGTCCTCTCTCTTGTGGAAGTCTACTTTCTGATCTTCTCATTCCCCTTTCTTTCAGAGTCCTCTCTCTTGTGGAAGTCTACTTTCTGATCTTGCATGGTTTCTCATTGCAGGTTGAGCTTCTGCTGGATCTATTGAGGGATCTGAGAGCCACCTACTCATCGTCCAGACAGAGTTCACCGCATAGTCTCACCTCACTCCTGGCTGATCCACCTGTGATTAAGGACATGATAACACAAGAAATACGCATGTTACTGCTAAGCGTGAGACAGAAAGCACGGTGTGATGGACTGTAAGTTATATGTGTTGGGGAAGAATCTTTTTATGGTACTAAATGTTCTATGTTGTTCAAGCACTATATAAAGATCAGTTTGCAGCAGTGTTTTCCTATGGGGAGGGCTTAATGAACTTGTGGCATTTGTTGCGCTGTAGCCCTCTTCCCCACCCCCCCCCAGTCAGATGACATCAGAGGAGGTGGAGTGCCGCTCCAGCACCGAGGGAGAACCGTGCTAGGTTTGGGTAAGTACAGAAAGGTTTTCTTTTCATGCTTGGGGGGAGGAGGGGGGTAGAGGGTCTGCAAGGGCTATGGCAGAGGGAACTATAGTGTAAGGAATACTGATTTGTATTCCTTACACTATAGTATCCTTTTAACACCACAAGCAACCTCCAAACTCATACAAAACCACATGCAATCTCTCTCCCACAACAAGCAAATATATACACAACCCTCGTTTACTCCTGTTCACTTGTGTCCTTTGGTATCTGACTTAAGGAGAAACCACAGGCAAGTCACCAGCAGACACAGAAGAAGTGTATCATTAGAATGGCTTGCACTGTGTTAAACACATTTTTCCCTATGTAATAGCTCTTCAGCAGAGCTCTGTAAATGGGCTGCCCTGGAGGGGCATCATCCTGACATGCCCGCTTTGGGGTACATGCGTGCCAAAGATGATGCAGCTCAGCCTTAAATTGCCCGGGCTGAATTTTTGTCCCAGTCCAGCCCTGAATCATTCTTCAAATCAACTCTTAATTTCAGCTACAATTAAACTTGTCAAGTTTCAGCTACTCATACTTTATTAAACAAACCCATTTTTTATTAAATAAAAAGAAACAAAACCCTTTAGTTTTACAATTACTGACATTGCCCTGAAATCACTTGTGGCCTCAGTTTGATGATCACATTGCCCAAAACAAGAAGTCTTTCACAAGTTTCTTAGCAATTTCCCCTGACATTCTCTTAACAAACCCAATGTGTTACCCTGACCATATAGTGTGGTATTTCCAATACAATAGGCATTAATTGGTTTGACTGCTTACTTCTTAGCAACGTGATCGAGCTGAGAAACATGCTGTAGAGGTACAAGCTAAACAATGCTTAGGCCGTTTCTCCCAGAGTTTGTCCTCTATTCTCTTGATAAAGACCAACGGACTCTCTTAATAAGTTACGTCATTAATTCCCACCAATAAAGTAAGGTCAAAGAAGCACAGATAGAGATGCTTTTTATGGCATGCCTTTGTGATTGAGTTTACTACTGACATTGTCTTTCCTATTACATTTCTAAGTAGTTTAATTTAATTTGGCTCTTTGCCAGTCTCCCTTCGTCATGTCTTACTTGGATTCCAAGTCTCTGTGTAATAATTAACGTTTATTTAGTTTTTTAACGTAAGGAAATCCTTCAAGATCAATGGAGAGAGGATGGTTGTGAGTCCTATACAGTCCAGAACTGTTTATTTTTTATTATTGTGCAATGTGAAGGTTTGATTGTGTTATTATTAGCAGTAGAAAGAGGGAAGTGATCATGCCATTGTACAGAACACTGGTGAGACCTCACTTGGAGTATTGTACGCAGCAGTGGAGACCGTATCTTCAGAAGGATATTGATACTTTAGAGAGAGTTCAGAGAAGGGCTACTAAACTGGTTCATGGATTACAGGATAAAATTTACCAGGAAAGGTTAAAGGATCTTAACATGTATAGCTTGGAGGAAAGACGAGACGGGGGGGTATGATAGAAACATTTAAATACATAAAGGGAATAAACACAGTAAAGGAGGAGACTATATTTAAAAGATGAAAAACTACCACAACAAGAGGACATAGTCTTAAATCAGAGGGGCAAAGGTTTAAAAATAATATCAGGAAGTATTACTTTACTGAGAGTGTAGTGGATGCATGGAATAGCCTTCCAGCTGAAGTGGTAGAGGTTAACACAGTAAAGGAGTTTAAGCATGTGTGGGATAGGCATAAGGCTATCCTAGACTTAAGATAAGGCCAGGGACTAATGAAATTATTTAGAAAATTGGGCAGACAAGATGGGCTAAATGGTTCTTATCTGCCATCACATTCTACACTGGACAAAATTATAAACGCAACACTTTTGTTTTTGCCCCCATTTTTCATAAGCTGAACTCAAAGATCTAAGACTTTTTCTATGTACGAATGTGGAATGTTGGTCCACTCCTCTTCAATGGCTGTGCGAAGTTGCTGGATATTGGCAGGACCTGGAACATGCTGTCGTATACGTCTATCCAGAGCATCCCAAACATGCTCAATGGGTGACATGTTTGGTGAATATGTTGGCCATGCAAGAACTGGAATGTTTTTAGCTTCCAGGAATTGTGTACAGATCCTTGCAACATGGGGCCGTGCATTATCATGCTGAGGTGATGGTCGTGGATGAATGGCACAACAATGGGCCTCAGGATCTCGTCACGGTATCTCTGTGCATTCAAAATGCCATCAATAAAACGCACCTGTGTTCGTTGTCTATAACATACGCCTGCCCATACCATAACCCCACTGCCACCATGGGCCTTCGATCAACAACGTTGACATCAGCAAACTGCTCACCCACACAACGCCATACACGGTGTCTGCCATCTGCCCTATACAGTGTAAATCAGGATTCATCCGTGAAGAGAACACTTTTCTAAAGTGCCAGATGCCATTGAATGTGAGCATTTGCCCACTCAAGTTGGTTACGACAACGAACTGCAGTCAGGTCGAGACCCCGATGAGGACGACGAGCATGCAGATGAGCTTCCCTGAGACGGTTTCTGACAGTTTGTACAGAAATTCTTTGGTTATGCAAACCGATTGTTGCAGCAGCTGTCCGGGTGGCTGGTTGTGGAGGTCCTGGGCTGGTGTGGATACTCGTGGTCTGCGGCTGTGAGGCCGGTTGGATGTACTGCGAAATTCTCTGAAACGCCTTTGGAGACGACATCTGGTAGAGAAATGAACATTCAATTAATGGGCAATAGCTCTGGTGGACATTCCTGCAGTCAGCATGCCAATTACATGCTCCTTCAAAACTTGCGACATCTATGGCATTGTGCTGTGTGATAAAACTGCACATTTTAGAGTGGCCTTTTATTGTGGCCAGCCTAAGGCACACCTGTGCAATAATCATGCTGTCTAATCAGCATCTTGATATGCCACATCTGTGAGGTGGATGGATTATCTCGGCAAAGGAGAAGTGCTCACTAACACAGATTTAGACAGATTTGTGAACAATATTTGAGAGAAATAGGCCTTTTGTGTACATAGAAAAAGTCTTAGATCTTTGAGTTCAACTCATGAAAAAATGGGGGCAAAACCAAAGGTGTTGCGTTTATAATTTTGTTCAGTGTATGTTTCTATGTTATTGCTCTCCAAATATCTCAATAAAAAAAATTAAAAGATTATGATATATTTTGGGGTCTATAAATGTTAAAGTTCTACTCCCCAGATTTCCAGTTCCATAAAGTGGGAACCTTATGCGCATCATGTTTTATGATTTGGTCATTTGAGCAAGCCATCAATGGCATTACAGTTGGGTGGGAGAAGGTCACTAAATTCCAGATTGTTTGGTAGCTGTGGGCCCCAAATGTTCTCAGTGATGTAGAATGGGGGTCAATGAGAGCTGTACTCCTTGCAGCTTCACTACTTTCTCCTGCAGTTCTGTATTACAGGCTTAATAAACAAGAGAACCAGGATTTGACAACATACACTGCTACTTTCTGTAGTAGAGCCAATAGTGTAAAAAAACAGGAAAGAGAGATCTGTGCAGATCAGAGCACAACTCTCCAGCCTGCTCCACAAAAAGCTGAGGTACTTTACTCAATAATCTCTTAATGCAGTCAGCTTGCTTGCAGGAAAGTTGTTTTTAAAAGGGCACCCCTTTCATAAAGTTACATTCCCCACAAGCTGTAGCTATTTGAAATGATTAAAGATCAGCCAAACGCTCGCAGTTCAGTCTGAGAGCCCGTTCAATCAGACGAGATGGTGATGGGTTTAGTGTCTGGATGCTACGGTAAACCCCTGTTTATTGAAACTAAACTGACTGTGAGTGAGAGACAAATACAGTTAATGACCTGGCCAAACATGCCCTCAGTCTATAATCACAGGTGTTAATGTCGATTTCCTGCAACTTCAGTGGAATAAATCAGAAGTGGTAGGTGGACAATTTCAATTAAGTTATATAATGACAACATCTTCAGCAGTCTTGTACAATAGGTAAACAATACAAACATTTCATTCCAACAAAACTTGTTTGACATACAGGAGCAGCAGGTGAAGAGCTTACAATCAAAGACCTGCTCAATATCACCAAACCAAAAATATAACCTGCAATATCTAGATCTTCAGAGTTTTTATGTACTTTGATCAAAAATTGTGAGGATATTCCTCTCCACCTGGCCACCGATGGCTAATCTGGACACTGCAGATATTTACCTACCATATTTCCTTTTGGCTGACTTGGCATTGTGGGAAACATTGAAGAAACTGGCTGAGCATCAGGGGTAATGGTATTATCTATGAGGGAGTGCCCCATGCTATGCCAGAGAATAAGCAGGCATGAAGGTCTGTGCCTGCTCTGAGTTCAGCATCATTAGTCTGTGCATGAAGAGAAAATTCCATTAACACAATATTCAGTGTTTTCATGGAGCTGTCAGGGTGGAGTTGGCTTTATAGAGGGATGTCTACAAATTGCTTCCCAATACCAGTTTCCATTTGATAGACAAATGAGTGGGCAGAATAACTGACACATTTCTTCTGTAGCTGATTGATTTCCAGAATAATTCCATAAACATTGTACCCTCTCGTTGTACTCAACTCTTACTGGTGAGTTAGGGGTTCATGCACCAGAAAACAAGTTGGGGTGAACAGAAACATAGGCCAAAATAAAAGCATTCTCTGTGTGGAAACTTCTCCCAACTTTGCTGTCATGGCCTCAGTGTTGCCACTTTGTTACACTCACCACAGCGTTCTTTTTAGTGAATAAGTCCCATCCTTGACATTTGCTAAAATGGCAATCACGATCATTAGCGAATACTGGCAGTTTCCAAAATGGATTCCCAACTAACATGGCCCTCGGTAATGACAAGCCAATTTCTACCATCATATTTTGTAAATGAAAACGTTAACCATTTCTGCACTGTTACAACTGGTTGGTTTGATGGGCTTGTGCCCTGGGATACTGATATCAGGTCAGCAGACTTCCTGTACCTTCTTTACCTTTCTGTAATTTGTGGAACATGTTCTATTCCATTTTCTGATGAATGCAGGTAGCTGTCTCTTTAATGTCTGATCACCTGCATGCCTGGCTTTCCTGTGAGACCTTCAAATGCTTCCCAGACAACAAATACATCTTAAAAGGGGAATGAATTGACTGGTCGGATGTATTTTAACTCTGGCAGATCTCAGTAAGTTTAAACAAGTGGTTCAATTAAATTTTTAGCCACTTGCTGTAACTAATGGGCATCTAATACAAGAAAGGGTAAATGTGTCAAATAAAACAATAATTGTCTTAAAATATTGGTTCTGGCATGTTACACTGCACAATATTGTTTAGAAGAAAAGACTTCACATGGGTTTGCTATTGGATTGTAGCTGTTTGGATTGCTCGTAAGGAGTGATAATTTCATTGTTATGTCTAGGTCAGATATATATATATATATAAACAGCAAAAAAAAGCCTTGCACTCCTACCAAACATTAAATAGAACCCGGTGCTCGATTGCACAATAGATACCAAGCAAAAAAAATAATCAGCACTCCCAGGATTTGTAAATAAGCCAAAAAATACTTTACTCCACAGGTCAACGTTTCAGCTCCTCTTGGGAGCTTTCATCAGGACAGCATAAATGATATACCGGTAATTAAAAAAGTGAATAAAAAATAACTTAATGGTATTATTTTGTATTTATTTTGTTTCTATACCCGGTCTTCCTGTCCAATATTACAATAATGTTCTATAATTACTATAATGTACTTATATTACTATAAGGTCATTTGCCTATGATTTAAAGAATATAAATTGCATAAAATGTTAATCAGAGCAAATAATTTAGAGTGCAAATAAAATTGATCTTAAATATTGTGAGTTTAGCTGGAAAACGTTTCTGACTTTTAATTTGGGAAACAATGAAAGCAGTAAGGTTTGTGTAACTCCACTCCCAGTTGTATCAAATATATCCTTTCTCTGTTGTATCATTCATGATTGTAACTTTCGTAAACATCTCACATACTACATCAGTAGTGAACAGCAATACCAAAGTTTCAAAATACTTAAAAACATTCTTCAATGTACCAACAGACCATGGTTTAATCAAAAGATAGCCAGGGAATCATGGGAGTTGTAGTTCAGCAACATCTGGGGGGCCCCTTCTTAATGACTCACATAGACGTCACTGCTTCGCCATCCATTTCGTACCCACGTACTTTCTCAATGATGAGAACAAATCGCATAGATTTTTGTCCTTGGAGGACAAGTCACAGAGTTTATGTGAGTCTTTAAGCCATGGTCTGTAGAAGAATGTTTTTAAGTAAATGTAAATAAAAGGATTTTATTTTTCAGGCGAAATAACACATTTCATGAATATTGGATGCTTTATTATTGCTTTTAATTTTGGGCCCAATATTTCATAGAAGAGACCAGTGTTAAGTTTAACCTTATAAATAAAGCAAATAGATTAGTCTGTATTAAGTGTTTTTTTTTGTATGCATTGTAATTATTGTGCGGAGTGTCGCACATAAGGTGTAAGGTTTTCTTGCTCTCTGTTCACACCCTTCCCTTCATTATGATTTAATCAATCCTAATAAAAAAATAAGTGTTTTCAGATCTATAGCAGTGTTTTCCTGAAGCTCTGAATGTATCGTGTTGAGCAGATAATTGGATTTTGCTAGTCTTTTAGAACTTTGCTGTTAATGTGCACCGCCCCTTGGTTATAACAGATATCTTTCATTCATTGCAGAGATGAGGCCCAGGTGCTCTATAAATATAACCAAAAGGTTGTCGGCTATGTGATGGCGGAAAGCAGACCTGAGAGCAGGGTGAGCAGTCGGTGCAGCGGATCATCATGGAGCCACGACATCAGAAGGAGCAGCTGTGTGAGTTCCTCCTACTACGAAATGAGCAGACCACAAACCGGGAGCACAGGGACAGAAGATCGGTGGGTATCTAGAGTCACCTCACCATTAAATTGTATATGCTTTTATTTTGTTTTATTTAATAATTGTTTGAATGCAAATATATTCCTTTCTATGTCAGATGGTCTGGTCAATGTCCATAGGTAAAATTGTTCAGTAATTAGGCACCACTAATTCCCCCAGTCCTGAACACAAATCATCCTGTCCACTTTGGCTTTCCTGGGGACAGCTCTGTGAGCAGAGATTGAGATGTTAACGACGATGGATTAAATGCAATGATGGATTGAATGCGTAGATGATTGTGGCTTTCATTAGCTACTAGCTAGCCATGGGTACAACTCAGGGCCCAAGACAGAACTATCTAGTAGGAGCACACCTGCTATTTTTAGAGTCATGGGAAGGTTGCTAAGTTTACCAGAATTCTGGGGATTATAGTTAATGATCACAGGAGAACCAAGTTTGGACTTCCCTGCTAATCACAAAGCAATCCAAAATTTGAGAGGGTAGCAGTAGAGTGCTAGGGAGAAGTGACTTTCCCACATCTGGAGATGTTCTCAGCATACAAATTATTATGCAGCAGATGGTGCAAGTTTCCCCTATTCTCTTAACTTTAAATTAAAGGAACTGACCCAACACACCTTCAGTAGTGACCAATGGACACTCCATTTACTTGGTCCTTAAAGTGCAGTAAACAATTAATGTACTGTACTTTAGGATCGGAATAATTGGAATGCCAAACACAAAAGAAAACGTGCTGGAAAAAAATAAATTTCAGCAAGAATTGGATAAACTTAGAGCTGAAGCTATGAATGATCCTCTCCAGAAAATCACACACAACAGCTGGCTTGTGGCTCCAAGATGATGACTCCATGGTGTATGTTACAAATTTAGTTGCAACACAGTTTCCAATGGTTTTGATCAGCTACTGAATCATTCACCACTGTTTTTGTGTCTCTTTGTACACAATGCTTCCAGATGTATCCACCAATGGATTGAAATCACATAATGTAAGATGCATTTCCCTCTTTAACAAAAACTCAAAATTACAATTGGGTATTATATTAATGGCTTAAAAATTATTTAGTATTTTTTTTATTAAGATTCTTTATTTGTATTTTGTACTGTTATAACAGGGTAGTACATATGTACAAAGTAAGGAGTGAGCTCAACAGGTAATTGCCAACTTATGTTATAACATGGTATTTACATTCAGTTATGATTGTGGCAGAGAGTCCGGTGGTGCAATGGCAGCCCCACAATAGGGTTGGTGCATTGTCCGTTGACCAAGGCTCCTTTAGTGGGCAGGTAGCCTGGCCTGGGTCTCGGACCTAGAATGCCTTTGTTGAGCCAGACTTATGAGGTAACTTAGGTGCTGTGTGGATGTATGTGTTGGGGGGGGTTTACCTAGCGTGCGTGGTGTTATGAGGTATCTTTTTGTCAAGGTGTAAGTGTGCTGAGATGGCCATTTCACGACTTTGTTCATGTAGTGGTGTGGTGTAAGTGTCGTTGGGTGTTGTGAGTGAGTGTTGGCAGTAGAGGTAGGGGAGAGGAGAAGAAAGAGAGGATGTGGAAAAGGAGAAAGACAAGGGAGGAGAGGGGAGAGGTAAGGACCACGTGCGCGAAAGTAGAAGTCCCGTCTCGGTGTTGTATTAGCTTAGCTTTATGATGTCTGTATAATGGTCAACCTTCTTGGGGATTAACAGTGATGAGGGCTTGGATAGCAGGAATGCTCAAGGGTCTTTGGGAAATGGTCTGTTTAGGATTCTGATTTGTAGGCTGGTTATGCTCTGCCACAGTAGGATGAGCTTGCGGCAAGTTCACCAGCAGTGGAGGAAGGTGCCTGTCTTCTCGCATATCTTCCAGTAGAGGTTGTCTGGCATGCGATGTATGGAGGCCAGGCATTGAGGAGTAAGATACCATCTGAACAGCGTTTAATATGTCTGCTCCTGGTGTGTAACACATATGGAGATTTATTCAGTGGCCTCCTAAATGTCTGACCAGTCCGTGGGGTCCTCGGGTGGGCCCAGGTCGTGTTCCCAGGCCGAAATGTAGGGGAGGATGACCTGGGAGTGGTGTGATGCTAGTGTTGTTTATAGATCAGATATTTGTCCTTTGCGGGATGGATGGTCCAGGCAGTCTCGTTCAAAAGCAGTCTGGGTGGAAGTTGCTACTTGACAAATTGATGGGGTTCAAGCAAAGCTTCGGAGCTGGAGGTAGCAAAAGTGGTCAAAGGTTGTTAACATTGTTGGGTCCGAGAGGTCAGAGTACTGCAGTAATTCGCTATTTGGTTATAGATGGCCTAGTCTCGGAATGTCCCTGTCTTCAAAGTGTGCATAGTGTTTTGGCATTAGGTCTGGGGGGAATATTTTATTGCGGAAGATGAGAGTGAGGCGGTCCCAGAGGTCAATGAAGTAGGTGATTGTTGGGGATGTTTGGGGGCGGGAAGAGGCCTGAATTGTCTTGGGAGCCAGCTGTATTGAGAGGGATGATCCCTTCCAAATATGGAATGTTCTAAATCCATCCATCTCTAACGGTCTGGGGGGAGGTGCCAGTGCTGGATTTGAGCCAGGTGGGCTGCGTGTTGATAGTGAAGGAAATTGGGGAGGCTTAATCCTTCAGAATGTTTGGGGACATATAGGATGGTTCTCCGTATGCAGGGCTTACAATCGTTCAATATGAAGGAATCAATTGCGAATTGTAATGCCTGTAAGCTCTGCCCTTTTGCATGAGATAGTTATTTAGTATTTTAAAGCACTGTATATTTCAGGGAACAATTTAGACCTACCAATATTAAAAGAACAGAGCATTTTTATATAAAGTGTTCTGCATGATGGCTTGTGAGCTTACAATCAATAAAATCATATGGACTTGGTGCTCTTCCCCCTGATTTCACATTTCCAACACATTGATGTATTACTCGGAGGAAAGACACAGAGACGCACTAACTATATTTGTGGATCTTTTCACAGACCATTGTCCTCTCTTTCCTCTTGCTCCAGCATTGAGGACGACCTTGAAGAACTAAAGGATAAGCTGAAGATTTCTCATATTGATGAGGTTGTCAAGCACCTTAAGTGAGTGATATAAAATATAATATATATTCGCTTACCCCAGAATGTATTAGAAAATGATCAGCACATGCTTCTTTGACTTACAAGTCTATAGACCGGTAAAACATTTATGATGGTGTATAAAAAGTAATGCATCATTTTTAGTGGTTTTCAATATTTTTTGTCTTCTCTAGGCCATGAGCAAAGTTACACATGCCGATTCTACTTTGTTTGTTTGGCCTAACTGCTACACACATATAGGCCTGAATCCTGCTGTTTTGCATTGAATGACTGGCAGTTTGCATGTACTGGCACATTTAAACAGTGCAGCAGGATTTTTTTAAAGGGGCTCTGTTATTTTTTTCTTTTTTTTTCTTTTATTATACCCTTTGTATGTTAATGATTATACACCCAGCTTTGCCTTTTGACTTTATTTATTGTCTTCTCTTTCCCTATGCTGGTTCTCAATACCTGGGCGCCTCCATACTGTTCTCCTCTGTCCATGCTGTCTGCAGTTTGTCCTTCTGTGGCATTCTTCTGACAGATGGATTGTGGGTAAATTAGCTCAGCAACTTAAATTGAACTTTGCTTAAGCTCTGCCCATTGCCAAAATGTGCCAAAGATCATGTTTCCCGTTAGACAAAGTACTCCCTTCTTTTTCTTACGTATAACAAAAAAACTAATGTCAATTAAAAATATAAAAAAACCAAGGAGAAATAGAAGTATTTGTTTAAAAGCCAAACCTGCAAAGTAACAGAGCCACTCTGAGACATAAGCCCCTGTGCCTCTGGCTCATAGAGGGGCTTGGAAGTTAGCCCCACAGACTATGGACCCTGTTCCAGATCGAAATATCATTAACTCTGGACTAATAGATCATATTAACTGCCTTATTTAAAAACTTATCAGACCAGACAGAGTGGCACTGGAGAGGGGATTGGATTGTTTTATATTGTATGTTATGGAGGACTGCCTTGGAATCCACATTCGTACTGTTCTGTGTGTTTACTGAAGTGTGTTCGTTCTACCCCCTACATTATGCCGAACTAATGTGTGGGGAGAACAAGGCTATAATCACTGCTGCTGTACAGGAGAGAAGGCATCGAGAGCTGTAACCACTGTAGCTTTGTCCAGTGGAAAAGGCCCCCAGACACCTTAGTCTAACTTTGCGAGTGGATCTGAAGCACTCCAGAGTCCCCTTACAGCACAGAGGAAGCTGGCCTGATGGAGCTACTCAGCCTGAGTAGAGGAGCACCGTCACACGCTTTAGTGGTTGTGGTGCCTGGTGTACCCTTTGTTGGTTTCCCTGTAATGGCGCAAGCTACTTAGCAATGGTTTGGCCCCTTTCCTGGATTCCCCCTGGGCTCCGATGCTTCCTGGTGGTCATGTGAAACACTTCTGCCTTCTGCAGGTCCCTGCTCTATGTGTTTACATGCTAGAGGGAGGGGGGTATAGTGACACAAAAGGTAAGGGTAGGGTAGAAAAGTAGGTTGCTAGGATAGTATTCATTAAGGGTTTAGGGTTTTGTTTTGATGACAGTTTCAGGGAAGGAATCAGGGTGCTGGGAGAGAAAGCTGTTCACAGTTTAATTGATATGCTTTCCTAAAGAAATACATTTTCAAAGATTTTTGGAAGGAATAAAGACTGGGTGAGAGTCTAACAGAGAGGGGAAGGGCGTTCCATAGAAACGGTGCAGCCCTAGAGAAGACTCTAAGATGAGCATCAGAGGTAGGAGTACGAACAGAGGTTAGACGTAGGTCTCCGGCAGAGCGTAGGGGCCTAGATGGCCTATTTGTGTATTAATAAGGATAAGTAGGTGGGAGCAGCATTGTGTAGAGATTTGTAAGCAAGTGTCAGGATCTTAAATTGAGCCCTATATCTTACAGGAAGCCAATGCAGGGACTTACAGAGGGGTGAGGCATGGGAGGTGTGGGCGGACAGGAAGATGAACCTCACTGCTGCATTCACTATAGACTGTAACGGTGCAAGCTGGGAACACGTAAGATCACTAAGAAGCGGATTATAGTAGTCAAGGCGAGAGAGGACCGCAGCATGCACAAGCACCTTTGCCGTATCAGGCGTTAAATAGGGTCAGATGCACGCTATGTTTTTGAAATGGAAGCGGCAGGATTTGGCGATTGATTGGACACGAGGGGTGAACGAGAGGTTGGAGTCAACGAGAACACCTAGGCAGTGTATCAAAGCTGAAAGCTGCACACATAGACTCAGGGTACCATAACCATTTCAAGTCACTGAAGTGATAATGGTACTTGGATTACGCCTTTAGCTGTGCACGTACATGGTACCAGCTTGTTTGCTATTTAAGTTATATTATTTATTAAAGGCATTCAGAGTTTTGCATCTCTTGAAAGGAGTACATAGTCCAAACAGTAGTTTGTAAGACCCTTTATTGAAATTGAGGTGACTGCAAGGAACTGCCTGCACAGCGTGTATCACTGCTCTTTTGTTATAATGATTCCGTATGAAAATTTAAAGATTTTAAGACCGAACAAGAAAGAAAATATTCTTTACCTGTTGAAAAGAAAAATGAAGACATCAAAGGTCCCATGCTGAGCGGATTTGACTAAGATGTCTCACATGACCTTTTTAATCATGGCTTAACACGGGCAGTGGCCGACTTGTAAGAAAATGATATCACGGTGGAATATGTCATCGATCAGTCTAGAGAGGTGCTTGCCAAAACCTCTCAATGGAATGCTAATGTTGTTATAGCTTCTAAAAACATAGCCCGTCTACAGACCCAGACTTGGGCCGACTGCACCTGCCAAGCAGTCTGCATTTAATTTATGTGCGAACCAGTGCGTAATGAATGCACTTCTGTGATTCCTTGGTGTTTACATATACTTGTTTCGGAACGCCTCAGGCCTGGCTTCCTAAGCACATGTAGATGTGTTTCAATAATTAGTAGAAACATGCGCTACGGGAACTTTTCTGCTAATTAATACAGATCAGAGACAGTTACTTTTCCTAAATAAAATCAGAGATCAGGAATTATAAAGCTGTGTGGGCAGGAGACTAGGAAAACCACTGCTGTAGATTAGCTGGTTGCCCTCCCCCCCACCCCCCTTTCTAGGATTATGGCTACAACAAGTGCAGGAGGCATCTTAAAGGAACACTCTAAGATTAAGTATGTACATTTTTTTTTAACCTTTGGGTGTTCCTTTCCTTTTTTAAGATTTATCCCCCCTCCCCCTCCATGTTTAAAGAAATAAAACAGAAATCCATTGTGTTTACCCATAATGCAGCTCTGGGTCAGTCTCTTCTTTTCAGTCGCTCTGCATAATATCATAATAGATGATCTCCACATCATCATGTTGTCAGTGAAGACACCAAATCGCCAAATGTGAAGACCTTCAAAAATTGAAGGTGTTAAATGTGGAAGCTCCACTAGTGGCATTTTTGTGCATTGCAGCACGTAGAGTAAGTGATCTCCGTTAACTTCATTCCTACACTTGTGAATGAAAATCTGCCCTGGAGTAGAGCAGCCTAAAGCAGCCATCGCAGTTCCTGCCCTTGACCTGTACCTGGCCAACTTGCCCCGTTACAGTCTATAATGAATGCAGCAGTGAGGCTCATCTTCCTGTCTGCCCACACCTCCCACACCTTCCCCTTTGTCAGTCCATCCATTGGCTTCCCGTAAGATATAGCTCAATTTAAGATCCTGACACTTGCTTCCCTATGGGGATTTTACCAACGCTGGATGTCCTCATGCAGAAGGTGAGGACGTCCAGCGTCAGGTGAGCAAAAGTTGGTTAGCCACCAGGAAGTGTCTCTAGTGGTACTAGAAGTAGTTTTCGTCCTGCAGTTTCTATGAAACCGCAATTATTTTCATTGCAGGACTAAGGAGGACAGGGACACTGCACCTGGACCACTTCAATGAGCTGAAGAGGTCTGAGTCCATTTAGTGTCCCTATAAGATGGCTTTGGTGCTTAAAGTCACCATTTTAATTATTTTTCAAAGTTTAATTGCTGTGGACATGTTGCCTGCATTGACCCGTGAGATAGCTCAATATATAAAGGGATACTCTCAGCACCATAAACACTATTGTTTATTGTACAGTGTATTGTAGTGGTTATGGTACCAGGATTCTCTTGTGTTCAATCTTTCTGCCACCTTTCTTCAGCTAGGGCCATCATGTTATGTTCCGTATTACCTGTTCATAACATTTGTGTGAGTAAACAGAGTTTGACCATGCCACACTGCTGTTAACCTGTGTTAGCCTGTGTCCGTTTGGCACAGCAGAGCATGTTATTGTTTATGCAGCACTGGTTGTATAAAAAAGGCTAAATTAAGGTGGGCTCAAATATGCAACAATGTTTTGGGCAAGCTGTGTTTACAGTAAATCTGATTATATCACATCTTGTTTTGTTTCCCCCCCCCCCACTCCCCCCACATTTTTTCTTTAATTTGTTCCTGGCTATCGCTGGTAAGAGAATACAGCAATTTGTGTAATTATACATTAGGAAATCATTCCCAGGCCAGTACTGTACTCCTTATTAAACCCATTATTTTAAAGTGAGTCATATATGATCGAATATGAAGATTGCGGTTCTCTGTGTATTTTGAATATTCATAGCTCACAGAATTGGTAACTGGGGAGATCCATGAACTTGATATTGTAAAACTCACTTGGTGAACTGTAGGATCTAGCAGTGGGTTTCGAAGTTAGGACTCTGCATTTCTGACATTTTTTGCCGTAATTTCAGGACTAGGCTATTTATGAATTTAATTCCACTCCTCCATTGCTGATATTATCCATTATTGATTTAATGGTTGGAAGCACAGGGTTAATTTATAAAAGTCACCAAGGGTTAGGGGTTGTTGCAGGGATGTAGTAACGTTTCAGTGGTTTCTGCATTGTGGTTGACCGTAATTGATAGATTCTCCGAAATAAACGGCTGTTCGGATTCTGGTTAGGTTTGAATTACTTACAATTTAAACTGATAGATTAAATGGCAAAGTGACTTTAATTATATACACAGAGACCACAGGCTGTCACTGGCAGCACAATGCTGCTTTTATAAATTGGCATAAGTGTATATTACTCGTTGAATACTTCCCTCCTCCAATGCCACAAGATTGTTCTAGGTTGCCATGTCTGCTTTTGAGTTAGAGTATTTTGTATTTTATTTCCTCATTTTATACATTAGTTAGCTAATCATTGTATTTAGTTCTTTTTAGGCTGAATAATGATTCATTCTGTGCTATAGCACATTGCAAAGTGGGGGCCCCTTTTCTGAACCTTAATGGCTGTTCCTGGCGTGTGTGTCATTCTTTGTAGCTGCCATATTTATTGCACGGGGTCTTGCCATTACAGAAGCATTAACACCTAAGCCCAGATCGCCTTGTGAATGGCCGTTGCAGGCAAGATGTGTCTGAAGATCAGCCTACTGGAAGATTTCCTTTTGGACTCTTGCTAACACGTGTATCAGGACCGAATGAAGGCCCTGTAAGAAAGAAAAAGGTTAAAGGAGTGCTCCAAGCACCATTACAACTACACTGTGCTGTGAGGTTTGCTGGCCGTTGCTTCCTGCAACTTTTCTTCAGGTATTGAGAGCCCGAAGCACCTGCTAGGAGCTTCCAAGTCCTGCAGCGCAGGGCCATCTCATTGGCTGAGAGCATCATCTGATCTTACTCAGCCAATCACATAAGGCCTGCACTGCCAGGCTTAGCTAACAGCTTCCAGCTTTCATAGGGGCAAGTAGTGACACCCCAGGCAGCAACCGGTTTGACTACTTACATTTGGGGTGAGGAGGGCACCAGGGCACTGCTGACACCATAACCACTACAGTGAACTGTAGTAGTTATGGTACATGATGTGTTCCTTTGAAAACCACTAATTTGGAAACAAATTACGTTGATGTTTGCAGCGCTATTTACTAAATTGTAACTGTTGGAAATTGACAAAGAGATTACAAATGTGTCCTCTAAAATAGACAAATCAGAAACATTACACTATGTCCTAAGCTGTTCCTTCAGCCTCGCAGTTCTGAACAATTCCTGATTTAGTGAATTACTACTTCAAGATGTTCTGCTATCAGTGTAGTGGTTATGGTGCAAAGAGTCTACAGGTACAGAAACAAGGCTATCATACCATTTGGGGGTGAACTGACAAAAACAGGGGATCTAAAAAAAAAAAAACAACGTACAAAAACATACCAGGAGAGCAACTCTAAGTTATTCGTCCCACAAATTGAATATCTCCACCCAGAATGCCATGCTAAATATGCAAATAAACTCATTTCAGATCGTCATCCTATGTTTTTGCTTGCTCCCTGTCCATTGACCTGCAGTTTTAGGACACAGCTCTTTACGCACATAATGGAATAGTGCAGTATATGATTTCAGAGAATGCACGGGGAGGGCTGGTTATTATTATAATATTTATGATATTCTGTACTTGGAGATTCCTGATGTAATTTAAACCCCCCATGAATCGTGCTTTGCTCTCTGATGGTTCACAGAGAAAAGCTCATTATTCAGTCAATGTTTCTAATGCGACCGAAAACACACATAAGTCTGTAAGAAACATCCGTAGATAAAACATTGTATTTCATGAAAATGCTTTTAAAAGGACCAACAACTTTGAATTTATAAAATAAACATATGGACTATCTGCCTGAAGGATTTTATTTATGAAGTGAAACCCCAAACTGTGTTCCCTTGGGGTAGATATTGACTTCTTTCTTGAATGATGTCTTCTAGCTAACGGCTGGTTTTGTTCACGCACCATGCGGCCCATGGACAGCTTCCCAAGTTAAGAAAGTGCTGATACAACAAAGGAAAATATTCAGCAGGCCCCTGGCCAGCGGGTTTTAATGCAGGCTGCATCTGGTTCTGGAGAACCATTTATAAGTCAGCCTTCTCTAAGGGATCGGCTGGGCCAAGAAACTTTGGCTTTTAACTAACGCAGGGTTTCTCGAGTTTCTGAGGACAGAGCGTAATGTTAGTGATGTGCAAACTCAAGTCTGGCGGGGTCAGTGATGTTTTAGTAACATTATTTTTGTCTTCATTCTGCTTTCTCAGCATTTGAGAAAATGATTGTTTGTTTCATTTTTGCAGACGTACGGCCTTTGAAATCTCTTTGTCATTATGTGGCGTTGCTATAGAGGAGTAATGGCTAACTCTCCTGAGGTTTCAGAATATATTTCCTTTGCCTTAGGGTGTTAAGTTAATCCAATATTGCTATAGAGATGGGAGGACCATGATCAGGAGTTTACGGTATCAGTGGGAGAGCAGTGACCAGGGAAAAGATGGAATTTGAGCTCTAATAGAAGTTGGGAGAGAGCTTGGACAGGAAATAACACACAGAAAGATATGTGAAGAGGACAATGGGAGAGATCGGAAGAGTAATGGAATGATAAGAGTGACAGGTTACAGCAACCATAGAGGAGGTGAGAGAATGGAGACACAATCAGGATAGAAATTTAATTTGAATAAAAGAACTAAAGCAGACATTTCCTTTTGCAATAGATGTAAAATTTTTATCCCAATTTGGACTTCATTCAGTGGATGAGATAATCAGCTGATGTTCTCGGCCAATGAATTGTGACCAAACACAGCCAGATTTGCTATAACTAATACGGAATGGGAACTTTAGTGATATCAATGAAAAGGCGCTATCCGTGGACACCAGGTGATCAGAGGTAAGTAGCAAAGAGTTTGAAAATACCTTCCCTCCTTGGTATGATGCCAGGGGACTACTAAAGCATTCTGTAGTGGTGTTGATCCTTACAGTGCCCCTCTAAAGAGTGTTGTTCGCAGTACTGGAGACCGTATCTCCAGAAGGATATTGATACCTTAGAGAGGGTTCAGAGAAGGGCTACTAAGCTGCTTCATGGATTGCGGGATAAAACTTACCAGGAAAGGTTAAAGGATCTTAACATGTATAGCTTGGAGGAAAGGCGAGACAGGGGGGATATGATAGAAACATTTAAATATATAAAGGGAATCAACACAGTAAAGGAGGAGACTATATTTAATGAAAGAAAAACCACAACAAGAGGACACAGTTTTAAATTAGAGGGGCAAAGGTTTAAAAATAATATCAGGAAGTATTACTTTACTGAGATGGTAGTGGATGCATGGAATAGCTTTCAGCTGAAATGGTAGAGGATAACACAGTGAAGGAGTTTGAGCATGTGTGGGATAGGCATAAGGCTATCCTAACTATAAGAAAAGGCCAGGGACTAATGAAAGTATTTAGAAAATTGGGCAGACTAGATGGGCCGAATGGTTCTTATCTGCTGTCACAGTCTATGTTTCTAAGTGGAGCTGAGGGTCATGGGGAGTTTAGTTTAAGAACCCCTGAGATGCCAAGGTTAGAGTTGCTGCTCTATGGGAATTTTCAGTATATGAATCCTGTCTTCTAATGGGACCCTGTCTGTCAGCTATAAATCTAACTCTATATCTTTCTCAAGATATTAACATGTTGGATATAATGATGCGTCTCTGGTTCTCTCTCAATCAATAATCTTTCCCTAGGGTGTAATATCCTCTAACGTACAGCATCCGAGACAGATACCATTAAGATTTTATTTATGTCTTTTCTTTATTTTATACACAGTCAGCTGTTCATTATAGACAGCAGCCAATGCCGCGTTTGGGACATTATCCCTCCCCAAGCGACAGTGAAAGATTTTACTCTTAAAATAAGGGTTATAAATTAACAGGACATTTGGCTTCTTTTCCAGGAGTTAATGAACATATAAATGTCTTACTGAGACATCCGCATTTATTTGACAGCCATTAAAAGTAAATAAGTCTACTACAACAACTCTTCTGTATAGTTCCAGACAGGGGGTTGTGCATTACTTGAAGGCACAGAAATGCCAGAAGAACATTAAGCATTCTGCACCATTTGACACCCACTGAGGGTGATTCAAGTCTACTCAACTCATACGAAGATACTTGCTCACAGAGTAGCTTTAACTGTTGTCAGTAAATAAGCATGGCTAGCATTGAAATGTGCAAGACTACTTCTGTAGTACCCCACCACTTGCATTTTCAGTGAGCCAAAAATCAAGGTTTTTGTGGTATTTTCGTCAACCCCAGTTCAGCGTGTTTTTGTTGGGTCATTAATGATATAGATATAACTTGGGAGAACTGGGGGAAAGGGGGGCGTGCATCCAACCTAACCTAACCTAAAAATGGCAAAATGTTCTCCCAAACTGAGCTACATGGGGTCGCTACTTATAATTATAATTATTGCCATTTATATAGCGCCAACAAATTCCGTAACGCTTTACTATATTATAGGAGGGGGAGATTTAACAATAAATGAGACAATTACAAAAACTTACAGGAACAATAGGTTGAAGAGTACCCTGCTCAAACAAACTTAATAAGATACAAACTCATTTAATTACGATGCCTGATATTAGATGCATTGCTTTGTATCTTTATATCCTTATCCTAATACCTGTAAAATGCTTAATAGTGAATTAATCTCATCGTATCATTATATAATTATCCAAATACCTGTGAGATGTTTAATTTCATTTTATTATTATATAATTATCCTAATACCTGCAAGATACTTAATCTCATCATATCATTATATCATTACTCTAATAACTGTAAAATACTTAATATTAGATTAATCTCATCATATCATTATATCATTACACTAATACCTGTAAAATGCTTGATATTAGATTAATCTCATCGTATCATTATATCATTACTCTAATAACTGTAAAATGCTTAATATTAGATTCATCTCATCGTGTCATTATATCGTTACTCCAATACCTGTAAAATGCTTAATATTAGATTAAACACATAGTGATCTCATCCTGTCATTACTCAGATACCAGGAAGATTTTAAGATTAGATGTGAGATTATTCTTATCCTTATCCAACATTAATCTCTGTATGGGGATTTTGGTACCTTCTGAATTATTACTCACCCTCCACATCACCACGTGCCCCCTATCGCTTTCATAAACCTTTCCTAATCCCTCAAAGCGTTTTTCTCTTAACTCCCCATTTTTTTCTCAAATGCATTCGTCCAACTCATTTACCGGTCCTGATGTGAAAAATTCCTTCTAATTGCTTATGACAGACAGACAGAGCCAGACGGACAGAGCGCCCTATGACTGCATGGCAGGATGTAACAGCCTCTGCTATCAGAGTCTGCTTTGTGATTTTGTTTCTGTGACAAGTAAGACTGCTAGTAAATAATGAAATATGGTGCAGCTTTTACCCCTTGAGGTAATTTGTGCCTGGACTGTCTGGGACAGACGTGTTGGACATCCTTTACATACACATCTCTCGTTTCTGTATCCTGGCCGCTCATTTTAATGATAGAAATCTTTTTGGGAGGAGGCTGCAGAGAGTTTGCAATTAATTATCTTGAAAACTTGGTATCTGTGCTGTGCCTACCCTAAAAAAACTACATTTAGCTAAAGAGGGAACCAGAAGGAATTGAAATGGGAAATGCCAGATTTTTCAGTTTTAGAACAAAAAGAGACTTGTACAAGAACGATTTGCAAATCCCTGATGAGAGCAAAGCATGTGAAATGAACCAGGAAAAAAACACAGCAACCGAGGAAAGAGAGGAAGGGTTTCAGGGATAACTCAGAAAATTAATCTTGATGGGCTTTATCCGGGACAGGGGGATTGCTGAGGGCCGGTAGACTGGCAAAAATTCCCAGTGCCTGTTTTACATCAGACAATTTTTATAGAAAACAGAACAACGAGAATGTTTAAAACTTTGCGATGACATAAAATATGTTTCGTAGGAATTTCTACCAAATGATTGTGATGTGACGGAAAGACTTAGAACAATGTTTCCATTTTATGTTTTTACACAGATTTATATTCAAGACACTGGCACAACAGAATAAGGAAAAATATCGAGTGGTGTAGCCTTTTTTAGTATTTCCCTGTAACTGAACACGGTGATGAATTCCGATTGAGGTTTTGTAAAACTCACAAAAATATCTGGCAAAAGCCGTAGTAGTGGGAATTATATGACCTTCAAATTAAATCAGTTGTCCATGTTCCACATCATTGACTGTCTTTTTGCACTGTATGAGCTTCTACAGCAGCATCGAGAAACCCAGACTGTACTGTGTATCTGTAGACCTTGATAACTGACCGTATACTCTGTTCCTTTGCTGAGTAATACCCCATTCAGTGTGTGGTTCTGTGTGCTGGTAGCAGGAGCAATCAGACTCGTGTGGACGAAACTGACTTTTTCTGATACGTTTAGCTTGCTCCTATTATATTTTGGTTATTTTTATTCCCTGATTCTGTATTCCAAGGATAATGTATGCAGACAGACAGACAGGCATTGTGAACTTAGTGGATTCTGTTTTAGTTGTTGGCATATTTCACATTTTATCTAAATTTGCACATTCCGGAGCATTGGATATCCGTAGAGATCAAGTTTTAAAGTAGATGAGATCTGTGCATTTACCAACACACAATATTGCGGGCAGTGTCTGACTGTGCGCAGGGTATAATGTCAGAAATCCCCATGCAATACCACACTAAGACACTGAGCGATCTTCCTCGTTTGAATTTCAGAATATAATTTTTATTTATGTTAAATATATTGTATTACTTAACATTTAATGTATTATCCTAATGCAGGGGTGCCCAAAAGGACCCCTGGATGTTTAAAAACTACAGCTTCCATGATGCTTTGTCATTCTAAAGACATGCAAAAGTAAGCAAAGCATCATGGGAATTGTAGTTCCACAACATCTGTAGATCTAGCTAGTGAGCCCCCCTGTCCTAATGCATTGAAAAGTGGGATGGGGATTGCAGATTGGAGTGGCTGATTTCAGTCAGGGATATTAACAATGCATGGCACTAGGCTGTAATTAGTATAATACAGGAGGCAGTCTTTACTCCATACAGTCATGGACTGTGCATGTTTTTTTATAGGATGCCCTAATTAATATCAGAATGTGGGTCTGGTACTCAGCATGATGTTTGTGCAAAGACTTTGACAAGATGTTCGGTAAATAGCTGCGTAGCAGAAATTAATTAATGGAGCTCGGTGAATGAAGGTGTTAATGTGACCTGATCATTTAATTAATAGAAAACAATATGTCAACGATTGTCTCCTTGCTTAACAATTAGTCCATAAACTGACTTCACTTGTGATTAATTCCTGTCCAATATCCTTAAAACCTATTTCTCTGCTCAGATCTTTACTGGAAGAAGAGTGCAAAGCACGGGAGAGAGATATTGCCCTCCTACAGGTATGTGTCCAAACCTGTGTCTCATATTACAGCTCTGCATGGCGCCAATCTCAGTTATTTCCTTTCTTTTCCAACCGTTGGGTATAAATTGTTCCCAATTTGTTGCATCTTTAGCCCCTACATTTCCATTATTTCATTCTGAGATCAAACCAGCACGAAATGTAATCACTTTAGTGATTTAGGATCTTTCAAACACAACTTATAGTCAACTGTGCTGCTTCTGTTTGTCCAAAATATCCCACCTTGAAGCAATTTCCAACTCTGTTCCTTCCTAGCTTCAAAATGATTTCTGCCAGCAATTGTAATAACTTGAAGTATTTTGTTCTTGGCTAAAGATACACCTAGTCTCTTTCTGAAGCCATCTGTTAAAGTTGAAGGGACAACGTATCTAGGCAAACAATTCCATTTCTTTATTATTCCAACTTGCAAAGAATGCTTTTCTCTGCGGTAGGTGAATTCTTCTTTCTTCAAATCTAAATGGATTCTTTGTACAGTTACTGCTAGACTGGACGTCTGCTTTTGTATTTGCTGTGAGAAAATAAATGATGTTCTCTTATTCCCTCAAACCACCCAGTGGATCAAATTAAAACTAGTTTATCCTTTCTGATTAATTAAAGTCATCTTTTCCATTTATTAGTTTATCAAACTGCTTTTATACATTTTCCATTTCCATCTTATATATATATATTTAAAGAAACACTATTACGTTGGAAATACAAATGTGTATTCCTAATTCTATAGTGCTAAATAGTTGTTTAGTTTGCCATACCCCTCCGAGTGCCTGACAGGGTGACCGTGTGGAGGAGGACAGGTGACAGTGTGTGGGGAGGTTGACAGTGTATGGGGATGTTGGTCACAGTTTGGGGAGGTTTATGACGGTGTGAGGGAGGGGGGTGACAATGTGGGTGTGTGTGACCGTGTGGGAGGAGGACAGGTGAAAGTGAGGTGGGGGCATTGTGGTGGGAGGGTGACAGTGTCGGGGCAGTCAGTGTGGGAGGGTGGTAGTGGGGTGGGGTCAGTGACAGGGTGGGAGGGTGGTAGTGGGGAGGGGGGCAGTGACAGGGTGGGAGGGAGATGGTGGGGAAGGGGCAGTGTAGAAGTATGAAAGTGGGGGGGAGACTATGGAGAGAGGGTAGTAGCAGTGTGGGAGAGTGACAGTGGGGAGGGAGGCGTAGAAGAGTGGCAGGATGAAAGTGGGGAGGGAGACTGTGGGGATGGAGGCAGTGGAAGTAGGGAGGATGGCAGTGGGGAGAGGGGAGGTGTCAGTGTGGGAGGATGAAAGTGGGGAGGGGGCAGTGGCAGTGTGGGAGGATGAAAGTGGGGAGGGGGTGTCAGTGTGGGGGGGATGACAGTGGGGAGGAGGGCAGTGGCTGTGTGGGAGTGGGACAGTTGGGAAGGGGGCAGTGGCTGTGTGGGAGGGGGCAGTGGCAGTTGGGAGGAAGACAGTGGGGAGAGTGACAGTGGAGACGGGGCAGCGGCAGTGTGGGAGGAGGACAGGTGAAAGTGGGGTGAGGGCATTGTGTGGGGAGGGTGACAGTGTGGGGGCAGTCAGTGTGGGAGGGTGGTAGTGGGGTGGTGGCAGTGACAGGGTGGGAGGGTGGTAGTGGGCAGGGGGGCAGTGACAGTGCAGAGAGGGGCAGTGACATGTGGGAGGGTGATGGTGGGGAAGTGGCAGTGTAGAAGGATGAAAGTGGGGGAGAGAATATGGAGAGAGGGCAGTGGCAGTGTGGGAGGGTGACAGTGGGGAGGGGGGCAGTGGCTGTGTGGGAGGGGGCAGTGGAGATGGGGGCAGTGGCATTGTAGGAGGGTGACAGTGGGGAGGGGAGCAGTGGCAGTTGGGAGGGAGTCAGTGGGGAGAGTGACAGTGGAGACGGGGGCAGTGGCAATGTGTGAGGGAGGTTGGGAACCCCTGTCTTACACCATGGTGCTCTCTCCCAAAGATGGCCTCACCCCTATGGCTGAGATCATCGGGATTGATGATCTCAGCCAATCCAATGCTTTACCATAGTGTGCATATGTGCAAAATGCTCTGAGACCATCTTATGGAAATAGCAGAGTTTTATTCTATCTCTGCAGAAGTGTATCTAGTGGCTGTCTGAGTGAAAACATTGTCACTCCTGTAGAATAACATAAATGGTTTCATTTGTAGGGTTAAAATCAAGGGACATGACACCCAGATTGCGCCATTGAGATGATGTGGTCTAGGGGCCTATAGTGTCTAATTAACAGTTAACATTGAGCAATGCAAACATTTTTACATATTACATTGTTTTAAAAGTTTATACAAAATATTCAATCATTTTAAAAGCCTATCCAACTATATTAGATTGGGGCCAAAATATGTTTTGTTAGGCAGAGCTGGTGGAATCATGTTTACTAGACAAAAATCTATTTTTTTCTTGTACATCCTCTGTCTCTCCTTTTCCATCTTTTGACATTCTAGTTTCTCCAATTATCTGTTTCCCTTCATTCTTCCAGCCCTTTCTTACAGGATCGTTCTGTCCCTGTCGCACTCTGCACTTGATTCTGTTCCAAGGTTCCCATCACCTTCCACTGGCTTTCCATTGGGCTCCAGAGTACTCCTGGCCGCATTGCTTGGGTTTATTCAGTCGCAAGTGCTTTGCGTTTGCTTGAGGTGCATAGCGCACACAACAATGATTGTGTTGGGTACAGAACTTTGTGTACATACAACAAAACAAACGGGTGTGGAATGAATATCACATAAAATTTTACTTACAATTAATAAGTTGAGCTACTGATTGTGACATATTGGGTGCAAGTAATATTTAATGTTTGGGTGATGCCCCACTCACGTTCTATTGTAGCACAAGCTATATGGTGTGGTGATTTGGGAGGAGAGACACACAAGTGATCTTGTTTTGTCACTATTGCTTGTTGTTTCAATCAAACGCCTTCAAATTAAAATGAATGGTACTCTTATGTTTGTAATAAAGCTGTTTTTCAGTTGATGAAGAACATTAACAATTGTTGTTTTCGATTTTTGGACAATTAGTAAAGCTTTTATCCTTTGAAGAGTTGAATTTGACAGCCTTTATTACTGGTTCCAAACCGGCCGTCCCAGTTAATGTAGTGATGGTGTAAATGTGATGATGGTATCCCTGGTTCAATAAGACATCATAAACATATTCAGCTAATTGGCGCAATCTCACAGCACTGTACTATGATTCACTCAGGATCAGATGCTTTGAGAGCAGCTGTTTTTGAAATGAAAGTCATACTCATACAATCAAAAATATAACAAACATTCAGTTTTATGCAAAATAGCACAATCACTGAACACTGTTACATTACACAAAAAAAGGACGTATTACTCACTGATTGCGTACTAATTTGGTGATTGAATCCTGGCGTTAAAGGCTTAATTGAAGTCAATCTAAACCGTTTCTGATTTCATATCTGTATTCATTAGATCACCGTCAAAGAATGGTCGCACGTCATGACAGCAGACAGAGTCTGGCAATGGAAAAATCCTCTCCATTTATCAGAAGAGGTGTACGCACAGAATGAAATGTTCTGAACCTTTGTGTCTTGTATTGTTATTATCTGGTGTTGTTGAGCCGAGCTCCCTGGGCCCTGTACAAGGCTACGGGGGAATTCCTGGTTATTATTCCCTCTGTGATACAACTGGTCATCCATTCCTTGTTTTTCCTTTTAAGTCTGTTTATACTTTTGCTAACAAAGCACCATCACGGATCACATACATTGTATATTTCATTTATTACCATAACAGTCAGCTAATAATGCCCATTCTTATCTGACTGTACACACAGAGTTAGAAGCAAACACTGGGATTAGGGACGCCTCACAACCAATTTCCGCTGTTTGACTGCCAGAGGGCCTGACTCGATTAAATTGCTGAAACCATTATGATAATGAAAGTGAAACGGTTCTTTATATTTTAATGACTTAATGCTTTTTGAGAGTTGGGCATGATTGTCAACAAATCTCACTAGTCCTGGTAAACAAACTGTTCCCAGGGAAACATTTTTAAAATGTTAAACAATAACATGTAACATATACATTGTGCTAGAAAACTTACTACCTGGTGTGTAATGCCAGTGGCCCGAGGTGCAGCTCCCACAGTACCTTGCAGAGCAATCTTATACAATGCTCAATGTCAGATACACCCCACTAATGACTTCATTAGTTATCCTGTCCCGATTTTATACCTTCCTATATTTGGAGAGAAGGGGGGCAGAGAGAACCTCTTTATGCTAAAATTAAAAATCTATTAATAACGTGGGGTCACCCCATGAATCTGCTAGTAATCCGACATTATAACAGAGTGTCCCCCTAAAATATTCCACAACGCACTCTTAACAGGTCAGAGAAGTAGGACATGTAGCAATTAATTGATTTGGTTCATCTAAAACTTAATCTCAGTTTGCTGAGCAGCCCATTTACTACCCCCATCCCAAAACATGGCGCCCAGCTGAACTGTGCAATTCAAAGTCTCACTGGTTCACTTTCATTTATTCACTAAACTGGTAATTGAGAAGAATTGACCAGCAAATTCTAAAAGCTTGTGGTTAAAAAAACAAATTAGAAAAAATCCACCCCTTATTTTTTCCCTAAAAAATCCCGTTTTAGTTAATAAATCCACTGTGTTACGCGTCTCCTCACCGGCAGACTGATCTATTGATCGATGCCACCATCTCACAGTTTAGCCAATAAAGACCCCATCAGTCCACTCACTCAGCTCTAGAAGTGTCACAATCAGTATTGACGCCGTAGTCTATTAACTATTGGCATTAGCATGGCAAGAATGTTCAGGAATAAATACATTTGGATAATGTTTGTTTTTTTGTTGTTGGAATATTTGTTTTTGGACAGAGCAATGCTGCCCTCTGGTGGGTAGATGGTACTGGTTTTGTTTTAGAGCATATTCTGTTTTTAATTAATCCTTATTTTATTATTTGGACGTGTTGAATGAAATAATAAGCAGCATGGAACACAAAACAGAGACACAGAGCTTAGGGCTTTCTTTATAGAGGATAATTTCTCCAACGTGGTTATTCACTTAACCCTCACAGCATCTATTGGTTGATTTCCATCCATTTGGTCGAATCAATCAGGGGGAGAATTTCTGTTGGCACGACACCCATGGTAAGACAGATCAGAGTGAGTGCCATGGAGTAAAGACAAAGACAGTACCTCCTCATTTATCACCATGAAGCTGTCATGTCTGTCCGTCTCAGTTTGTCTCTCTATTTATCTCGGTATATCTTCCACAGGACTTAAGTCCATCAAGTTTAACCTTTCAGATATGTATTTATATACCTTGATCTGCCTCTTTATCTCAGCCTATCTATTTATCTTGGTAATAAAGAAGAAGTCCAGGCACTCCAATAGCTTTTGGCACATTTATTAGAACAATAGGTACACTGCAACGTTTCGACCCACAATAGGGTCTTTGTCAAGCTACTTCACACCTAACAATACAGACATTAAAAGGCAAAAATAGTGAAAGTGCAAAAAATACAATCAAGCAATCACGTGATCAATAAGCAATCAATTATGACAGAGCTTCTAATTAGATGGAGGCACCCAGTAGCAGGATAAAGACGTGTGGAGTTCTACATTTAATTTAATTTCGCACCTCACAAATACATATTCTTTAAACAAAGGAATAAGTAAACGGAATATTAGAACTCTTGGAAAGTGACAGTTCCCCCTTTGCATAGCTACCCAGCAAGAAATCCCCAAATTCTGTGAAAGATCTGCATTGCTTCTGTGGCCTAATGGCAGAATCATTAGTCCACTCACGGCATTAGAGTGAGAAAAGACTGGTATGTTGACTTTGACATCTCCTGCAGCCAACTAATTTGCATATTTTTTAATTGTTTTCATTTGTTGGCCATTACTATCTCTACTAATCATTTGTTCCAGGTATCTAAATCCCTTTCTGTAAAGCAGTATTTATCTGCATTAATGTTCCAAGCTCATACAATATGAAAAAACACAACTAAAGAGTTTTTGTCTTTTTTACTCTGTGTTTGAGGAATGAGCCACAGTTGTTACAGAATACTTCACAATGCGTTATCCTTGCGCTGAGTTTATGTTAATATTTAGACACATGCAAAAATAAATTTTAGGCGGGGCCTGGCCGACCGGACGCCATTAACATGAGCTCCTGCACTAAGCTGATAAAAAAGGCACTAAAACAATCGCCCCTGACCGCCTAAATATACAATGTTCCGCCAGATCCGAACAGAGAATGGCACCAGCTTACCCCCGATACCTGAACAATGCCCACCGCAAGCCAGGCAAGTAGAGAGGGCCAGGCCCGGCCTAGATGAGGCAGAGCGCCAGAATACCAGCGGCCATTACAGGCAGCACGGCGCTGCGGAGCAGAGAACCACCGAGGCATCCCGCTATTGACACCTCGACAGGGGAAGTTACTCGGCCCGGGGCATGGCGTTGCCCCTCCCTTTTGGCCGGCGGGGGATATCCCGGCTTCCAGGTGGAGGCGCGGGTCGCAGCGGGAGTCTCCTGCACTGGCACCAGCAACATCGGAGGTGCCCGCGTAGGGGCTGAAACACCCACCCGAGGAGGCACCCAGATCGGGAGCAAAAAGGCTTGGACCCACACAGAGATAGCCCCATAACCGGCAAGAGCACTCCTTAAAGGCATCACTGCAACATCAGAGGGGTAAATGTGGAGAGCGCTAACTATGGAGGGCTCGTGCGGACTTGGGCACAGCTGAGCGCTGGATGGATCCCCCATGATGACTGCCCGCCCGCCCGCTGGAGGAGTGGGTGCCCTAGCCCCTGGGTATGTGGGGTCCCCAGAGGGCCATGTCCCTGAAGCCGTGAGCCCAGTGGGGTGGGCCTGCGTGGCCCCTCCGGCGGACTGGTGGCCGGGGGGGTGCGCACCGGCTCCAAGCAAGTGGCCGGCCCCAGGTTAGACAGCAGGTAACACGCTCCTCTGAGTCCTGGATCTTGGGTGGTGATGGGGAGGTGCAGGGAGAGGGGGGCCCATGGACTCTAGGTGTGGGAGTCGAATTGGACAGCCCCTGCTCCCGAGTGTTGCGGGGAGGACAGACGGAGACTCGGCGGCCCAAGAACGGCAAGGCAGCTGTGCAATGAGCGGCCCTCAGTGAACTGATCTTAAGGACAGACCAGCCCCGTAACCGTTAAAGGCGTTAAAGTTCTCAGTTAACTTTATTTGCTCCCATTTGGGTTTGTTTTCATATTTTTTTTTCACCTGTACTGCATAACTGCTTGTTTGAGTGTCTCTAGCATGCTTAGTTGGGCGAACTTTAACCGAGTAGTAAAATATAGAGCCCTTAGTTGATCCTAGCGAAAATTCTACTGACGCATCAGCCTAGAATTAATGAGGCACTGTTGCTCTGCACCCACGCTAGATTTAGTGAACTGACCTATGCTACCTGGCCGACATAACTCTTATGCAATAAGAGTCACATAAGCTTAGGTATTGCTCAGATGAATATAAGGCCTGCACAATGCGTTCTTATACCCCTTTACACACCCACGATATAACAAATCCTGCAACGTTTATGTACATTTATTTTACTTCATTGCTTGTTTATTTAACTACGTATAAGGCTACACATGCTGAAAGAGCCATCACACGCATAGTTAGACATAGGTATTGCTCAGATGCCTAAAAAGCCTACACAATGAGTTAATATGCCTGTCGAATGCCCTTGATGCATCAAATCTCGCAACGTCTACACCCAATTTGATTGCTTGTTTATTCTGACTTATATGCCTCTGCACAGGCAACCATATGTTATTTTTACCAATTCGCAAAATGCCTGCCTACGCTTTTCTGCGACTCTAATAAATATATTCAAAACAAAAATACATTTTAAGCGATTCATCTGAATAAAATTCCTGATAATCTGCAAATGAATCGATTCTAAAAATTCTGTTCATTCTTTAATGAGCTGAATCTTCCAAATTAACATCCTTTTGAAAAGGATTTTAATTCTGACAATTTTTTTCGTTGATGAATGAACCAATTTTTCAGAAACGATTAGTTCAACAATTGCCAGGAATTTCATTTGGACAAATCGCTTAAAATCTATTTTTTGCACGTCTTTTAATATTCAACATCTTCGCTACTCTGCCGTTCTATTTGTAAACAAGCGCAAGACACTCCTAAAATTTCTGTTTTTATTAAGGTGTTTATAATTAAGAGCACAGATCAAAAATGAATATCACATTAATTTCACAAAAAAAATCTGTCTGTAAAATATTGTGGTTTGAGATCATGAGAAGTTAAATGTTGCACAACCTGTGCTGTAGTAATATTCTGCTCTCTGTTCAGCCTCTTCCAACCATAAATTTCCCTAAAATCACATTCTCCCCTCCTTACATGTACAACACTAATAAAATGTTGTGACTCTTCTTTTCTATAACAGCAACGTCTAGAATTGGAGTATCTCTATGGGGCAGACTCTCAGACACCGCTCCCGGAGCCCTCACTGGCAGGTAAACATGAAGCATCTGTTTGTATTGCCAAGGCTATGATAACGCATTGAGTGACCTGCCGCACCTAATTTATTTTTATCTGCTATGGGACACATAGGTCGCATTTTATCAGTCGTCCAGATGCACTTTAAAAAAAACACTGCTTGTTAACAGACATTCCCATCAAATTGAGTGTGATCCTGCCAAACTATATAACCAAGTTTTCCAATTTAGACTCCGTTCTCTTTATACCTTTATGTTGGGTCACATTTACATTAGTGGTGCAGTTGGACTGTGTCTGGCCCTCCTAAATCAGGCCCATAACATGGGAATTGGACAAATTGGAAAATGTATTACTCTGCTCATTGTTGACTTACATTAATTTGTTCTAATTTTATTCTAATAGTATCTGAAACAAACAATGGAATTGTTGCATCTCATTTATCTTCTTATCGTTTACCTACTGTCACTAGAACCCACTAATCCAATAAGACTTTGTTTTCTTGTTTTAGTTTCTGGTTTTGTGTTTTATTAACTGTAACTGTGATCATCCTCTCCCATAACATTATCCCCATTATTCGTCTTGGCGTCCATTTTGCTTAGTCAACAGAAACCGTATTCCTTAAACGCAAGGCAACATTCTCCGTAATCAATTAATAATCGTATGGTGTGGTGAAATTTTACGAACTTTGGTATCATTGGATCTGTCAAAACCTGGTTCTCCTCCTGTCTCCTACAACTCACTCCACACCACGTATCCCTCTATTGGATGTACACCAGAGATCAGTTCTTTATACCATCCTTATGTCCAGTCTTACTTCCTGTGTACCCCTTTTTTAGGTGACATCCAGATTTTTTTCTTTCCCTCCTTTCACACTGGTCTGTCTTCTGTAAAACCTCCTCTTTCGTCATCCGATATTCCATGTGCTCTCCATTAGAATGCCCATCACCATGAACTTTATCTGTCCTTCCTGACCTGTAATTTTGCCAACTCTGAATTCATTTTTATTAATAGTATTGCCCTTTATATAGCACCAGCAGATTCTGTAGCCCTTTACAATATTATTAGAGGAGGGATTTAACTATAAATAGGATAATTACAAGAAAACTTACAGGAACAATAGGTTGAAGAGGGCCCTGCTCAAACGAGGTTACAGTCTATAGGAGGTGGGATATAAAACACATTAGGACATGAAGTAGCAATCAAATAAGGTGGGAGTGAAGCAGAGCAGGAGGAGAGAGTAGAGTGCTGCCCTTTAGGGACAGGTATGTGAGGTAGAGGTTAATCTGGGAGGCCATAGGCTTTCCTAAAGAAATGGGTTTTAAGGCACTTCTTAAATGATTGAAGACTAGGGGAGAGTCTGATGGCGATATTCAGGCTATTCCATAGGAAGGGAGCCGCCTGCGAGAAGTCCTGCAAACGTGAGTTGGCCGCACGGGTGCTAACAGCGGACAGGAGAAGGTCACGGGCAGAGTGGAGAGACTGAAAGGAGCATACCTGTGGATCTGTGTAGAGATATAAGAGGGGCTCTAATTGTACAGTGCTTTATAGGTAAGGATTAGCACTTTGAATTAACCCCTATAGGATACAGGAAGCCAATGTAAGGAGGGGAGAGGTGTGAGAGGACCGACTAGAGAAGAAAATCAGTCTGGCGGCACCATTCATTACAGACTGTAGCGGGGCAATACGGCTTTTGGGAAGACCAATCAGGAGAGGGTTACAATAATCCATGCACGAATTTACTAGAGCATGGAAAAGCTCCTTGGTGGCATCTTGCGTAAGAAAGGGACAGATGCGGGCTATGTTTTTAAGATGGAATCTACAGGATTTGGCAACATACTGGATGTGAGGCCAGAAGCAAGTATGACGCCAAGACAGCGTGCTTGCAAGATGGACTTATGTGGATACCACTAACCTGAAGGGAGAGCGAAGGAGGAGGATCCGTATTAGGAGGAAAGACAATGTGGGGATATTTATGGGATAATAATAGTAAACAGTGAGAATTGCCCACTAATTCAATTCTCAGACCCCAAAGATCGTTATCGTGTTAAGTGAAAAGTATTTCATATAAATAATATCACAATTTTGTTATAAAAATAGATTTTTTTTATAATAACAAATAATTAATAATATGTAACATGCGTGACAATAATCAATGAATATCCAGTATAAAATGGTATGCAATACAAAGGAACGGCTACACACGTTTCAATGGCTAAACAGCATTTTCTGTCAAGTCTTACACGATTTATGAGGTATCTTTCACAGAGAGAAAGCGAAGGTTTTCACAGCGAAGGGCCATAAAACCCTGGCTAACAGTTAGAATAACCCTTTCAATGCTGGCTAGACCTCCTAGGTAATTAAGATCTATTCTTATGTAATTTTAAATAAAATAACATTTAAACCAGTTCATTAGTCATTTCCTGGAACCATCCAATAAGAGAATCTACTATGTTATCTAAGCAGAGTTTAATTTGTCTAAAATATATCTTATCTTAAATTAGAACAAATCAATACACCTGGATAAAAACAGCGGTATGCTAACACGTGATAATATCACATTAATATATAATTATTCTTAATTCCACCTGCAGAATGGAATGTTTATAACTATATATTCTTTAGTTAACTAAGATTTCTTAATATGGAAATCTGACCGTGATTTATCCAGTTGTATCTCATGCTAATAGTAAATTTTTAATTAATTTAATTAATTAAATGAAACCAGTATAATTACCAGTTGAGTAGATATTTCATCCGATTGGTAGATAGTCTCAGGAACTTATTTGGATGTCTGTAGGTGCATGAGTTATGGTGAAAGGTGGTGTTGGTTAGAAAGTCAGTAAAATTCTAAGTGTTAGAGTTTTAAGAGTAGAGTGTTAGTCTCAGATGTTGTCCTGGGTTTCTCTGCATGTCCGAGTTGGAGTCCCCAAACTTCCAATTCCTCTCTCCTCTTTTTTCCTTTTCCTTTGCATACCCTTTGTCTTCCATTTGTCCTAACTTTTAAAGGGCCAGACTCTCTGTACATCATTAGTTGATAACCCAATAGAAGCACTAGAGGTGTGCTTACCTAGGGATCGCAATTTAGGTAATTGTTCTATAGAGGGCAGTCTTGTCCCACTAAACATACCTATCCAGGAAAGAGTTAACTTTTCCTGGTGGCTATTTTGACGTCATTTTGGCCTATCTTGATAGTGGCCATAACTTACGTTTCCTTTCAGATCAAACAGTTTCTTTAAGTTTTGTCCAGACTATGTGTCTGGCAAATTCTGAGTTTTGACCCGTAACTTACAATGGGACCTTATACATATAGAAAGTAAAATTTTATTATTTAATCTTCTCTGTCACCAATGTCTGGTTTTAGAATTGATCTATTCCATTAGCTTTTAGATAGTCTGTCCAACCCCCGTTCTCCTTATCACATGGTTTGTTTATACTATGCATTCCTTTAGCTCTGGCAAAGTGGTTAGTTTTACAGATAGAAATCTTGTGTCTTTTGTTAACTTGGAAATAACAAAATGGAGTCTGCTCTGTTCAGAGTGACTCAGAATATACACTTTTAATTTCTATCATAGCACAAGATGTCTGCCGATATAAATACCCTGACAACAAGGAGCTCAGTTTTAGAGAGATTGAGTTTCAGAAAGTGGGAGGACATCCAGTCAGAGATGGAAGAAAGGCAAGCAGTGACACGTTGCAGGAGGTCAGGGGAGGAGAGATATATCTGGATGTCATCAGCGTACAGGTGGTAGTGGAATCCAAATGAGGTAATAAGTTTGCCAAGAGAGGCAGTATAAAGAGAAAATAGAAGGGGACTAAGGACAGAGCCTTGTGGGACACCCAACCGAGACAGGATGAGGGGAGGAGGTATCATTAGAAAAGGAGACACTGCATAAGCGTTGGGAGAGATAAGAGGAAAACCACGAGAGGACAGATCTGATTATAAGACAAGAAAATGAAATAAAATGAGTACTACCTATAAGCCACCCTTTGATTTCCTTTTCATTTCCAGAGTTGAAAGAAGAGAGGCGTGTAATTGAGCGTGACTTACAGCTCAGAGATTCAGCAACATCTTCACCGCAGAGTATGAATCCCAAAATCAGGAAAACAAGGTAAAACTAAGATAATATATAAAATTGCCATACATCCAGACTATCACTGGAGTCCTCTATTAACCTGATTTACTCTGGGATTGTTTGCTATATCTCAGATAGCTACATTGAATGTTTACAGGAAAAGAGTAAATCAGTATAAGTGTACAGCATCAATATATGTACAACTTAATATTATCAGTGTGCATACACAATATAGATTTTAACTCTTCTAAGTTCACTGCAAAATGCACAACTTTAAGGATTGTATACTGTAAAAAATGTTCTACTAAATCGCATTATATTACCATTTCGTTTTATTTTCACAGATCCATGGAAGTTTCTGATAGAACCATATCTAATCATAATCCTGTGTGTTTATCTAATATACGAACTGCGTCTGGCAGTTTGCAGGATAAAGCACCTAGAATTGCTCCCTGTCCCCCACATTCTAAGATCAAAATTGAGGTGAAACAGAAACCTAGCAGTAACAAAGTATTGATTCAATCAACAGCCGCCCCTTATAAACAAGAGGAGAGAACAGATATTACAGCTTACAAATTATCTCACAGACACATTAAAGCACATCCTGTTGGTGTTATACAAGTCTCATGCCCTTCACATGACTTTCAGAAATGCACAGTACCTGTTCTGAATGCTTTATCTGTCAAAAATTCCTCATCCAACCCTATCTTGTTAGAGCAATCCCCATCTACACCCGAACTGCAGGTACCATTACAAGGAATGGATTGTGTATTTGTCCCTTCTCCACCCCAAGTCCAGCGACCAGCTGGAACCACCAGTTCCTTCTCAAGTTTGCGAAGAACGAGGACTCAGAATTCTATCACTCCATCCTGACATATTTATCAAGAGACAACATACTCTGATTTGTATGAGGACAATGGTAGGATGATCAGTTAGTGAGTACTAAGGAAATCCACACAAAAAACAATTAAAAAAACAAAACACAAAAGTGATACAATGTCAGCTTCATCTAATGAATTTATTACATATAATTTGCAGAATCAAAATTATTTTAGGGATAGGATAGGATCTGAATTCACAATCATCCAAAATCAACTTCTAAAGAAGAATACTCCCGAAGTTTGGGAATTTAAAAATGTTAATTAAATTGAAGTGTTTTGGAACACGTAGGATCAAATTAAAGAAACTGTAATATATATGTATACACAAATAATTGATTTTCGCACCCCTGCTGGGTGGTATGTTTATTCTTCATTCTCGGGTCCTCTACCAGAGGCCTTGGAGTTTGAGGGTTCAGCACAGTATCTTAGCTGTTCCTAGAACTGCACTCTTCTGGACAGCGATCTCGGATGTCCCACCTGAAATCTGTTAAAGCCACTCCCCCAACCAGGGAGTCACAGCCCCCGAGTGCTCCTATCACAACTGGGACTACTACTGCCTTCACTTTCCACATCCTTTCTAGCTTTTATTTCAGTCCTTGGTATTTGCCCATCTTCTCATGTTCCTTCAGCCTGATGTTATAGTCACTGGGTATTGCCACATCCACCACGACTGCAGTCTTTCATTCCTTGTCTGCCACCACGATGTCGGGTTGGTTGGCCAGCACTTGCTTGTCTGTCTGGATCTTGAAGTCCCACAGGATCTTAGCCCTGTCATTCTCAACTACCCTTTGTGAAATCTCCCATCTGGACTTAGGCAGGTCCAGCCCATATTCTGTGCAGATGTTTCGGTACACACTCCTAGCAAGTTGGTGTATGCTGTTCCTGCTAACATCTTGCATCCGGCTACTAGGTGCTGGAATGTCTCAGAGGCCTCTTTGCACAGTCTGCACATTGGGTCTTGCTGAGGCACTAATCCTAGCAGCACAGGAACAGGCACTCAGCACCAGAATCAATACATATTTTGGTATTCTTCACAAGAAACACCAAGCCTCCTTAGCAAGCCAGTAACCAACCTCATGCTGATGAGTTGCATTAACAACAAAATGGCTGTCAACGAGCGATTCACTGGCTTTGCTCCTCTTCCTGAGTTGCGTTTCAAAGCTGTTGTGTACAGCAGACACATACTCCAAGGAATCCATGTATAAAGTGGAATTATGAGGCAAAAGTTTGGTTCTTTGTTGAGCTCATTTGCATAAGTCTACCCAGAATCCCTTGCAGTAGTGAGAGCACTGTTAAAGTGAGATTTCTGTGGGAAAAGGAAGTCTTATGGCTTGCCTGGTGTGTGTATTTGTGTTTAGCAATGTATTAACTTTATTAAGTTATTAACTTTATTATTTTTTTATATATATATATATATATATCTCACGTCACTAAGTCAGATCTACCACTAGACATCCATAATGGTGCCTTCTTCATCTAGATTAAATTCACAAGTCAGAGTTGGCCAACCAATTTTGAGACTGTTAGATAAGAGCTGGCCAACAAATTCTGAGACTGTTAGATCAGGACTGGCCAACCAAATATGAGACTGTGAGATCAGGGCTGGCCAACCAATTCTGAGACTGTTAGATTAGAGCTGGCCAACCAATTCTGAAACTGCCAGATCAGGGCTGGTCAACCAATTCTGAGACTGTTAGATCAGGGCTGGCCAACCAATTCTGAGACTGTTAGATCTGGGGTGGCCACCCAATTATGTGACTGTTATATCAGGGCTGGCCAACCAATTCTGAGACTGTCAAATCAGGGCCGGCCAACTGATTAGGAGACTGTTAAGTCAGGGCTGACCCTGGCTGACCAAGTCTCACAGTGTTAGATCGGGGCTGGCCGACCAAGTCTCACAGTGTTAGATCGGGGCTGGCTGACCAAGTCTCACAGTATTAGATCAGGGCTGGCTGACCAAGTCTTGCAGTGTTAGATCAGGGCTGGCTGACCAAGTCTTGCAGTGTTAGATCAGGGCTGGCTGACCAAGTCTCGCAGTGTTAGATCAGGGCTGGCTGACCAAGTCTCCCAGTGTTAGATCAGGGCTGGCTGACCAAGGTTGTGGTTAGTCAACTAAATCTGTGAATCTTGGCATGGTTAACTAATTTTATAAACATTTCTTTACCTAAAATACATTTTTGATTGCTTGTGTATACTGTTGAGCTTTAATATATAACATTGTCTTCATTTGAAATATTCTAAATTTCTATGATATCTTGATGTACAGCTCTAGACCATGTGCACACTCACAAACACAGACACTGGCTGATTACACTGACGCAGACACTGACACAGAAAGACTGACTGCTTTACACATATTGTTCCATGAACTGCCCCACACAGAGACATCGACACAGCAGCTGTCATTCGATGGTGGGCCCCAACACCTCTCTTCTTGTTAAATGTGCAAGCTATCAGATGGTGTCAGAGCAATGAGTCTCCAGGTGAAACAGCATTCCGATTTGTTGCTTTGTAAAGGCCCATGGATTTCACTGGAATGTTATAGAAACAATGATAAAACAAGAATTCAATACCTTTTATAGTTATAAATCCTGTCTAAACGTTTACAGTCTGTAATGCAAAAAATAAACTAACTTGACATTTTATCTCCTGGCCACATATATTATTATTTATTATATATAATATTCTTCATTAAGAGATATATATATATATATATATACACACACACACACACACAATATTTTTCTGTTTTTTAATGTCAGCATACAGGAGAGGGTAGGACTGGAGTTGGAGTCTCCCATTTCTCCAAGGAAAAGCACCAAAATCGGGACTAGCCAACTTGATTCTGCACAGTTTGCAAGTACTGTATATGTCATTGGCCTGGCCAGTCGCCAGTTGGAGTGATGATCAGGTCTCATTGCAAGTAAGCTCCAGGTAATAGATACAGGTCGCATATTGCAGGCAGTGTTGGTACCATTATTGATGCTGACTCATGCTCAGGGCCATCTTTAACGCAAGGCAAACAGGGCAGCTGCCCCGGGCCCAGTTACTCCTGAGGGGCCCAAGGCAGCTGCCCTCAATAATTTATGTGGTCCCAGCACTCTAAGGAGGCCCAATGGGTGGCCCATGCATTTAGGGCCACTCGGCGGGCTTCTATCAGCAGGGGCCCGTCGGGTGCTGTGGCCCTTTAACAGCACGACCGGGCCCTTGCTTTTCGGCAACATTGGTAGAAGTAACTGCCGTGAGTCACTTCCTCCCATAAAGAGGGCAGGCGTGCGGGAGGGAGTAGAGCGGGAGTGAGGAGAAGGCAGTGAGAATGGGGACTCCTCACTCCCATCAGCCTCAGGCACTACACTGGACCCCAGGGATGCCACCCTCCAGCAAAAGGTAAGAAACTGGAAGGTGGGTTTAAAAATGTTTAACGTGTGTCAGTATGTCTGTGTGTGTGTTTCAGTATGTCTCTGTGTGTGTCAGTATGTCTGGGTGTGTATCAGTGTGTGTGTGTGTCAGTATGTCTGTCAGTGTATGTGCCTGTGTGTATCTCAGTATGCCTGTCTGTGGGTGTCAGTATGTCTGTCAGTGTTTGAATCTATGTCTGTCAGTGTATGTGCCTGTGCGTGTCAGTATGTCTATCAGTGTATGTGCCTGTGTGTGTGTGTGTCAGTATGTCTGTCAGTGTATGTGCCTGTGTGTGTCTCAGTATGCCTGTCTGTGGGTTTCAGTATGTCTGTCAGTGTTTGTATCCATGTGTGTCAGTGTATGTGCCTGTGTGTGTCAGTATGTCTAACAGTGTATGTGCCTGTGTGTGTGTGTCAATGTCTGTCAGTGTATGTGCCTGTGTGTATCTCAGTATGCCTGTCTGCGGGTGTCAGTATGTCTGTCAGTGTTTGTATCTATGTCTGTCAGTGTATGTGCCTGTGCGTGTCAGTATGTCTATCAGTGTATGTGCCTGTGCGTGTCAGTATGTCTATCAGTGTATGTGCCTGTGTGTGTCAATGTCTGTCAGTGTATGTGCCTTTGTGTGTCAGTGTCTGTCAGTGTATGTATTTGTGTGTGTCCGTATGTCTTTATATGTCTATGGGGAGGCACAATCTATGGGGGCCTTAGCAAATGCTTGCCCGGGGTCCAATCATTATTAAAGACGGCCCTGCTCATGCTATGTAAAAAAACAACAACAAGAATGCTCTAACAAGATAATTTACTCAAAATTTGCAGGAATTACATTTGAATGGAAAAATGTAGGCAAAAAAGGCAAGTTGAAACTACAGATGAATTGGAGAATTTTTGTTTCAGATCAGCTATTTTTGTAGCCCTCCCAACAGTCCTGATTTCCGCCCATTATGGGTGTCTGTAGTGATGCCTCAGGGGCTCTCCCCCCACACCCCAGTTTTGCAGGACATATGTCGGGAGATTTGATTTGTCCCTCATTTTCTCAGTTTGGATTTAATTTGCGAAAAGATTCATAGTTTAGTGAATAACCCTGTTAGATTTCAGGCAGTGATTGTTCCATCTTTTTTTTTTTTTCAATGTTGACAGACTCAAATATCAGATGTTTGAGAGATCGTGGTTTAGTATCCCTTTAAAAGCAGTAAGCAGGTGCAGAGCTACTATGGCACATTCTCACCAGCACAATCTGCTGTTTGCTTCATGTCAAAAGAGTCTGCAGCCAACCAGTGCCTATTCCTCCAAAAACAACGAATTACTTGCTGTATCGCATTAGTTCTTGGTTTTGTATATCAGTAACTGCAGGTAATCCTTCCCAAGTTCCATGATGTTTCTTGGAATTTGCTTGGATGCATATGGTCACTAGGGGGTGCTCTTGTACAGCTACAGTATATCTCAGTGCCTGTTTCTCTGTATAAATGTATGGTATTCACAGTAAAACCATTTAGATTGTATTGGTCAGAAACACGTCATTCCCTTGTTGTAAAGACTGTCCTTAGAGCAACAGTTTCCTAATGCTGTCTTACTTAAACATCCAGTATCTAAGGTTATTTAACTTGTCTGTGGAAACTATTGGGGCTTATTCACTGACTTAAGGATTGCAGAAAATGTATGAGAATTTGAAATATTGGGCCAAACAGGGGAATTGTAAAAATTCTGCAACTCATTAGCCTACAATTTGAAAGGACTGGTGTCAGTTCTCCACAATTCACAATTAAGTGAATAAACCGCTAAAATGATAATATTACATACAACACGTACAAAACACAGCACATAAATATGCTTATACAAAAACAAGTGATGTGTGAATAACATTGTACTAAATGTGTTAAAAAAAAAAAAAATTAATGGTTTTATAAAGATGGGAACCTTTATATTTTTTTTTATTTTTATTATACACTGTACATGTTGTTGTTATTGTCCGAATTAATTTTACTTCAGTATGTGCTGGGAATGAAACCTGCAACTCTAAGGTGTGAATGGTTACTGTCAAAACAGCTAACATGCATCAACACAGAATTCCTAGCCAGATTTATAGATTTATTGTTCCTTTTATCTAAAAGCCATCTACCCATATATCTGACGTATCGACCGAAAGAAAACACAACACGCCAAACTGGAATATAAATTTATTTAAACTATGTACTGGTTAAGATCCTACAAATCACTTGTACAGCATTGTAATTGGATGACAAGGTGTTCTTGCACGATTATTGCTATAACAATTAAACACATTATATACCATCAATAGAATGTAAGGCTACACAGAGATCGTGGCTAACACGGGGAAACTGGGTCTCGGCATGCGTTACACTGTGTAGTTAGGATTTGGGGATTTGGAAAGAAGAGCTCGAGAAAAAATATGTGAATAGGATATTACATATTTAAAGCTTTGCCCCCACCCCCAACAATCTCTGAATGTCAACCCTAACAGGGTTATTGATGAAACGTGTGAAATGTCAGGTAGATCGAATTGAAATGAATTTCGAGTTTTATCCCGATATAGTCTGTTTGGATATTTTGGGAAAAAATTTGAAATTCGCTAATTTCCTGGCAATTCACGCTTCAGTAAATAACCCTGCGTATGTTATGAAGTTTGTATATCAGTATATAAAATACATCATTTTATTAAAATTCAAGTTTGTATTCCAACACCATAAAATACTTCTGTATTATAAAACATAAAACAAAACAGAAATGGCCCAGGCAAGATGAAGGAGGGCATTAAGAAGCAGCCATTTTGTTTTGACTCTTTCCACTGACCTTCAATATGGCGAGCAGAGAGACATTGACTACTTCATCCCACTGCCTTATCCCTCAGAGAGAACCGGATTCCGTTAGGAAATTAGTTATTTAAATCTAAGAGGGTTACGGTTTTTCCAATTATTTGATATGGAAACTGTTGTAATTTCACACTTTAGAAGTCTTTATTTGCATGTTATCTATTATGCTAATTAATTTCTAGCCAACCCATCTTCCTGTTGGTGAATTTGCATATAAGTGGCATTTAATAACATTAAATGGTAATATTTTCTGATTAGCTTCCTGGTAACTTTATAGAATGGAATAATTCTGACTATGGTGATTTGCGGTACGATCAGTCAGAATACATACAGGGGAGAGATTTAATAAAATTCTACAAGTGGTATGTGCATTGGAATCCCGTGGCATTTTCCTGCTGGTACCATTGGTTTCCATGGTGATTGCTCTTCTTTTTGAATATTGCACCACTTATTTTGTTTCCATATGTCTATTTCCCCTATAGACTCTTAAAGAAACTATAATAAAATAAGACTGTGCATAGTGTAAGGGGGAGTCATGATGGGAGGGGAAGCTCCCAACTGCTCATGGACACAGTCTCTTCCTTCATCATGGCTGTAGTGATTTGCTAGAATTGCTTTTGCTATAGGCCGTGACCCACAATCTGTGATTATCCCTCCCTCCCTCCTCCAACACCTAAGTAACTGGTAAGGGCTCTCCCATAGCTTTTAATGAAAGAACCCGTGTACAGTTGTGAGTATGAATGAAGCTACTTGGAAAATGAATAGAATATGTGTAGTTTACATGAATGAATGTACATATCCCATAACAGCCCCTTCCCCCCCCCAACACCACGATGCAGGAATTATTAAGGACTATGCACGGTGCTCTCATTAAAATCTGGTCCCAGCACATCCTTCATACTCCTAGAAAGAAAGGGGAGTAATCTAGATAATTCATTAACTCCAGCGTGACAGAATAATATGGAATCTGTCAAAGCTGGACCTGGTTTGGAGCAACATTTAGAGAGTAGAAAGAGAAATTAGAACACCAACATGCTTAGGGGGAACCGATATTGGATTTACCTTTAAGTTTCCAGAATGGATTTACACCAAGAATACTGTGTTCTACTGGAGCATAGTGACTCATTTTATTCTGCAGTGCTTGAGACTAAGACTAAGGTTTATTTACTAAATGTCCCTTGCAGAGAATTTGTAAGGGGATTGCAATATGTATTAAAACTATTCTGTTAACGTGACTATTTTGTCATAATTATTGCAATCTTGTATCTCAGTCCTCAGATTAGTAATTAAACCCACTAGCAAATTGTGGCATAGTCTTACTGACGCCTTTAAAGAGTAAGAAAGCAATCGTGAGATTTGGGTTGAAAAAGTATAAAATGTTTTCACCAAAGCTGGGAAATGGGAGCAGGCAATTACTGGATAGCATGTTCATCACAGTGGGAGCAGGCAATTACTGGATAGCATGTTCATTACACTGGGAGCAGGCAATTACTGCATAGCATGTTCATCACACTGGGAGCAGGCAATTACTGGATAGCATGTTCATTACACTGGGAGCAGGCAATTACTGGATAGCATGTTCATTACACTGGGAGCAGGCAATTACTGGATAGCATGTTCATTACACTGAGAGCAGGCAATTACTGGATAGCATGTTCAATACACTGGGAGCAGGCAATTTCTGGGTAGCATGTTCATTACACTGGGAGCAGGCAATTACTGGGTAGCATGTTCATTACACTGGGAGCAGGCAATTACTGGATAGCATGTTCATTACACTGGCGATGGGAGATGTTTGATGAGGGAACTGCACAATTTTGGACCAAATAACTAAGTGGGAAAAAGTTACAATTTGACTATTTTAAGCCTAAAATGTGTCATTCTCTTATTAATTCAACATACAGTGTATTTATATAAATATATTTTATAATTTTACTCATGTAAATATTTGATGTTTTTGTCTGGAGGACAAGAAATCTGTCAACGTGATCTAATGCTGAAGCTTGGATTTCCATACCTGGATTTCTTCATAGTTGACTCCAGATGGGAGCCTGTATATTGGGTGACAGTACTCTGATTTAATCATCTTCTAAGATCCAATCATTTTAATGTCAAATATTATCTTGTTCTGGGATCAACTAAACCTCATGTTAAAGGTGGCCAATCCCTTACTGGAGTTCATATAATTGAATAAAATATTAAAAATAACCTGTAAAATATAATTTGTGTGAACCTATTATTTTTTTAAAGAGAATATATTACAGAATTAGCAAAAAAACACAATAATAAGGCAAAACAAGGACAGGCATCTCCCATGAAGAGTAGAAATACAAACACAGTTTCATTTTGAACGCTGCTCTGCTCCAATCTGCATCTCCTCCTAGAGATGTATTGAATCAATGCATCTCTATGGGCAGCAAATAGGAAATCTCCACAGATTGTGGAGACGCTAAATGTAGGTGCTGGAAACTGTGCCACCTCTAGTGGCCGTCTGAGTGACTGCACCTAGAGGTGTTACTAGGCAGCAATGTAAATACTTCCTTTTCTCAGAAATGGCAGCGTTTACATTGCTGAGCCTGCAGAGACATGCTATAGACACCAGAACCACTCCATTAAGCTGTAGTGGTTCTGGTGACTGTAGTGTCCCATTCAAATAAACACTCCACTGCCACAAAAACAAATCACTATTTAGTAGTTAGAACCCCAATGAAAACATGCAGGCATTTAATTATGCTTTTTTTATTGCTGTATATCTAAAAGCAGACGGCAAAAGCTAGAGATATCTTGTCTGCAGCCTTCACAAGCCCTCCCCTTCTAACCTCGCCCAGACTGTCTGTGGCTGTCCAATCACAGACTTTCCAATGTAGCTCAACGACAAGTCTTTGCAAGGCAGGTGCTCTGAGCAATTGCTGCCTGTTTTTTTTTTTCATACATCATTTTTATTAGAGAATGTTATCAATGCATATAATAGCCTTTTGAGTTTATTTCCACTGAGTTAAACAAACCAGGAAGTAACTTGACCATTTGTCTGATTGACAGCCCAGGGGGTGTAACCAGGTTGATTTCTATTGAAATCTGTACTTTTTGTAAAATGAAAAAAAAAGACAACACACTTCACACATAAAGCACTTGGCTTTTGAGGTCAGAGTGTCTCTTTAAAGCAATGATTGGACAGGGAGCTGAGATGGAGGCACCCATCTATAGCAAGAGGTGTATGTTTTTACCTTTAATGGAATTTTTTTATACCTCAGAAAAATAAGCAAACGTAATTGTAATAATTCTGTGAAGTAACAATTCCTCTTTAAGGACCCTGTAGATTCTCTGCTGATGTTTCATAGTGACAACCTGTATAGTTTTCATTCATCTGATTAGTTCAAAGCTAATTCTATTTTCTCCAGAAGGATTTGACCATAAACACTTGACATACCAGGGGCAGAGTTTGTAATGTGTGCAATAGTCCGTTGTAGACCGATCAGCAATATTAGTTGAAGGTACATTGCAAGCACCATAACCACTGCATATATTACTGCTTTTTATGTGATTATTGTATTACCACAACTTATTGTATTAGTTCACCTTGTTGTATTATTACAATTTAATGTAACGGTTATGCTGCTGGGCATTTGTCACTACAAAAAAAAAACTTCACAACCGTTTCTGTGACACCATACCAGTCAGCCTCTTTTGCTTACTGGAGCCGTACAGACCATCACAGTTTGCCGCGTGATTCACAGTACCGTATTCACAACCAGCTGACTGACCTAAATGCCCATTCTGCCCAAATGTTTGAATGGCAACAGATAAGCTAAACTTCACCAGGGGTGATGCCAGGAGCCTGGGCACCAAAAGGTGGAGATACTAATCATGGCAAGGATTTAAAAAGCAAGTTTCCTAGGAGAGTTTTCTCACAGTATAGCCATTACAATACAATAATCTGCACAATAACATTGTAATAATACAATAATCTGCACAATAACATTGTAATAATACAATAATCTGCATATGATGATTTGAGTGTTCCTTTAATCCCATTGAAATGTGTATAATGTAGAACAATGGTATGTGAATCGTTTATAACTCCCAAACACATTGCAAGCCGATATTAATATATCCAAAATTGATTTTATTCTGGGGGAACCTCCCAATGTTTGACCCAAGAGCAATATTAGCCACGTTTGGTAAGGGGTACGGTGATACCATGGAAATTCTGAGTTTAGTTGTGAACATGATTCGGGGATATGGCTAATCTTTTCATCTTGGATGGAAAAATATTATTTTACTTGGGGCTATGGTATATGATAATTGCAGCATAAAGTAAGATGTCATTCCAGATTGGACGCTATATCTTCAAAAGACAGAGATCTCGGCCATAGTCCTTTGTGTTGACCTGTGGATATTGTGCGTTAATGGCAGGTTAATGCCACTTTGAGGCATATTTGGTTATGAATATTGGCCAACAGAGATACAGTTCTCGAAGCTATTTTTTTTTCTGAATAAGCAATATACTGAATTAAAAATAGTTTTCAGTCTCCCATTAGAGATATCAGGAGAGAGTTATAAACAATGTTATTAATAGAAATGTAAGACAATTATCATTGAAATCAATCAAATTAATTTCAACGTTTGATTTGTTTCCATGGTGATTGCTTTTCTTTTGTACATTAGCCAACTTTCCTGCTAGTGACAATTCTAAATACCCATCACCCATTCATGCATTATGCCATTCATGCATTGTGATTGTGTGGTTCTATGCCAGAGAAATGCTGCCTTTATAACAAGTCTCATGGTAATATAAGATTGGGAGCTTGCTCTTGCTTGGGATATGGTGGACGTCCATTGTATGAATACTCAGGTAACGATATATCAATAAATTGGCATTTGGTTCTACCGTTGGAATGTTGTACAGTGCTAATGGTGATAATATGACGATCAGGCGGGTACAGACATTTCAAAGTCTAAATGGAGGAAAGAAAAATGACTCAGCAGACACAGAACATAAAATCAGAAATTGAATAATCTAATAACAATATACTTAATAACGATTAGTGAAAACAATGAACCAAAATGATATAGTTATCAAAAATATAATGACAATTGCAAACACTGGTCACTATGGTCTACCTTAAGTCATAATACTTTTTTAGCATTAAAACACAAGGGGAATTACTTTTACAAACATTGCAACATCAAACTCTACCGGAATAACAGGTCACTCTCAGCTGTACATACGTTACTAAATACCAGCTATACAGACAGAGTTGTACATTCACAAATAATAGTAACCTACGACCAAAGAGGAGGCAATAAAATAAAACCTGCAGTATAGACACCGTTAATGGTAGAAAGTGAGATGAGAGTAACAGAAGTGATGCATGTATAAGGAGGGCAATATAATGAGGAGGTTAAAATAATACAAAGATGGACAATGTGTGCGGAGGGTGGTGGGTGTAAGATGGACACTTTGTATGTGGAGGGTAGTGGGTGTAAGATGGACACTTTGTATGTGGAGTGTAATGGATGTAAGATGGACAATGTGTGAATGGAGGGTCATGGGTGTAAGATGGACAATGTGTGAATGGAGGGTCATGGGTGTAAGATGGACAATGTGTGAATGGAGGGTCATGGGTGTAAGACGGACAATGTGTGAATGGAGGGTCATGGGTGTAAGACGGACAATGTGTATGCGGAGTGTAATGGCTGTATGATGGACAATATGTGAATAGAGGGTCATGGGTGTAAGACGGTCAAATTGTGCGGAGGGTGATGGGTGTAAGATGGTCAAAGTATGGGTGGAGTGTAATGGATGTAAGATGGACACTTTGTATGTGGAGTGTAATGGATGTAAGATGGACAATGTGTGAATGGAGGGTCATGGGTGTAAGATGGACAATGTGTGAATGGAGGGTCATGGGTGTAAGATGGACAATGTGTGAATGGAGGGTCATGGGTGTAAGACGGACAATGTGTGAATGGAGGGTCATGGGTGTAAGACGGACAATGTGTATGCGGAGTGTAATGGATGTATGATGGACAATGTGTGAATAGAGGGTCATGGGTGTAAGACGGTCAAATTGTGCGGAGGGTGATGGGTGTAAGATGGTCAAAGTATGGGTGGAGGGTGATGGATGTAAGATGCTCAATGTGTTTGAAGGATAATGGGTGTAAGATGTTCAATATGTGCGGAGGGTAATGGGTGTAAGATGGACAATGTGTATGTGGAAGGTAATGGGTGTAAGATGGTCACTGTGTGTGCAGAGGGTGATGGGTGTAAGATGGTCAATGTGTGTGCGGAGGGTGATGGGTGTAAGTTGGACAATTTGTATGTGGAAGATAATGGGTGTAAGATGGACAATGTGTGTGCAGAGGGTAATGGGTGCAAGATGGTCAATGTGTGCGCGGAGGGTAATGGGTGTAAGATGGTCAATGTGTGTGCGGAGGGTGATGGGTGTAAGATAGTCAATGTGTGTGTGGAGGGTGATGGGTGTAAGATGGTCAATGTGCATGCGGAGGGTGATGGGTGTAGGATGGTCAATGTGTGTGCGGAGAATGATGGGTGTAGGATGGTCAACGTGTGTGTGGAGAATGATGGGTGTAAGTTGGGCAATGTTTGTGCGGAGAATGATGGGTGTAAAATGGTCAATGTGTGTGCGGAGGGTGATGGGTGTAAGATGGACAATCTGTGTGTGGTGGGTAATAGGTATGTAGTGGGTAGTAGGGGGATATACAAGAAGCAGCAAGGAAACAGACTGTATTGATCAATCTGCACCATTGAAGTCCATCTAAGTATGTCTTCAGCTAAAAGTGATTTAGTGCGCTAGTACCTGGATTAATTTGGGTGGGATTCTTTACCCAAAATAACTTTAAATGAGCACGTCTGTCATTATAATACTATTCAAAGAAGCATATGGAAATACAAAATCTAAATCTGTAAGTCTGAAAACAAATTTAATAGTAGTTGGTGGGTTCACTTTAATGACAGAACTAATTGTCCCATCTATGAATACTTCCCATAGCTTTTCCAATATATTTGAAAACTAATGTTTGGAGAAAAAGGATTAACAATCATGTCATAATTAGTAATTTACTAGAACAGTTAAGACACAGAAAATCTAAGGTTTCTGATAGACCTAATGTGTTTCAGACATCAATGAGGTATTTCTAAGACCGCGTTCCTTAACTGTATCCCAAGAACTGTATCAATCAGATCTTCTTCTACAGATTATCCCTGAACAAAGCCAGCAGAGATGTTTTAATTCATTTCCAATAAATCTACTGGTTGCCAAGCAGTGGTATCTATAAAGGTTAACGCTTTCTTGGGGGGGAGAGAGCCAAGGAACGTTGCAATAAGGAAAGGGTTTAGAAACATGCAGCTCTTCTCAAGAATATAATTCCCATTATCCTCCTATCGTGGGACTTGTAGTTTAAAAAACATGCATTTTTCACATTTCGAGGGATCTGATTTATACAGCAATGCAGAACTATCATCATCTAAAACAGTTAATCTAAGAGTTAGTTTACACCTATATATGTATATAACAACTGAAAGTGGCGTGCGCTGCTTAGGGCAGCAAGGTGCCCGAATTGACTTTGAAGAGTCTTTGTTTATCGTCCTGTAAATCATATATTGTGGCTTTCTTAGTGTGCGTAAACTGGAGGAAGTTAACTGCTACTGAAAGAGATGTTGAAAGAATGACTAGGACGTAAGACCCCAGGTTAAATAGAAACAGGAGATCAGGTCACTCGTGTTCTGTGATCACAAGTAACAACGAGGATAAACCTCAACGATCTAAAGTGACAAAGAAAGATCAAAACAGAGGCTCTTTCGTCCACTGAACGCCACAGAACAGTGAGGACAAATGGCATCAGTGTAATATAGCATCTACAGCTTGACACAGGCAGAACATGTGTTCGATGTATATAAAATCTAACACAGAATATTAACTACGTAATGGCCTAGGTAGAGGGATGATTGCCGCACTAAACTACTGTTGCCTTATCACAGCCACTGACATTTAAAATAATATGTAAACTACTGGTAAATGACAGTATGTGTAGTGCTAGCCTGGGCAGGTTTGCTTGTGATTGGCTAAGTTGTCTCTGTCAGTTCAGAATGCATTGGATAATTGGGGTCAATGATTTGGCTGATTCCAGTGGTCTGTTGACAAATCACCATGAAATCATGCAGTATTTCATGACTTTGCGTAATCACTGAAAATGTTGAGTGTTTCTACATTTTTGGGAATATTGCCTAAACAATGTACTTTTTTTTTCATTGAAAGAGAAATTGTTTAAAAGTGAGAAGAAAATCACAAATTTTAGGTTAAAATAACTGAATGAGTAAATTAAAATTTGCTATTCGCTTTTAAACTTTTCAAAAATCCAATAATTCTGGAATATTATTTAATATTTGTACCAAATATTATTTATTTGTTGCATAATTAAAATGCAGCATTTGGTTGTAAACTGCAATAAAATTACAAGTAAAAAGTACGCTATGTTGTTGAATTAATATATCTTATAAAAATAATACTTTAGCCCAGATTGAAGACTGGTTTTAATTTAACGGGAGATGCTTTCTGCGCAGGAAGTAACAGGACCAGTAATCTGATTGACGGCCGGGGGGTTGTGTTCAAGGTGATTTATAAAAGTTCCAATTCCGATTGAATCTGCATTTTCTGCATAATAAAAAAAGGATGACACACTCTTCACACATATAGAACGTCCACAAGCTAAAGTGCTTTATGTGTTTGGAGTGATTGTTCAAGATTAAAAAAATTTCAATTATCTCAACTAAATTATCTCAACTTTCTCAACTTATCTCAACTTTCACTTGGTACTGCCTTTACATTTTCTTTTCATCTAGAGGTTTTACATAAGATAGCTGAACACCGCACTCTAGAGGTCTTATATAAGATAGCTGAACACCACACTCCAGAGGTCTTATATAAGACAGCTGAACACCGCACTCTAGAGGTCTTATATAAGACAGCTGAACACCGCACTCTAGAGGTCTTGTATAAGACAGCTGAACACCACACTCTAGAGGTCTTATATAAGACAGCTGAACACCGCACTCTAGAGGTCTTACATAAGATAGCTGAACACCGCACTCTAGAGGTCTTACATAAGATAGCTGAACACCGCACTCTAGAGGTCTTGTATAAGACAGCTGAACACCGCACTCTAGAGGTCTTATATAAGACAGCTGAACACCACACTCTAGAGGTCTTATATAAGATAGCTGAACACCGCACTCTAGAGGTCTTATATAAGATAGCTGAACACCGCACTCTAGAGGTCTTACATAAGATAGCTGAATACCACACTCTAGAGGTCTTATATAAGACAGCTGAACACCGCACTCTAGAGGTCTTATATAAGATAGCTGAACACCGCACTCTAGAGGTCTTACATAAGATAGCTGAATACCACACTCTAGAGGTCTTGTATAAGATAGCTGAACACCGCACTCTAGAGGTCTTATATAAGATAGTTGAACACCGCACTCTAGAGGTCTTGTATAAGATAGCTGAACACCGCACTCTAGAGGTCTTGTATAAGATAGCTGAACACCGCACTCTAGAGGTCTTATATAAGATAGCTGAACAGCACACTCTAGAGGTCTTGTATAAGATAGCTGAACATTGGGCCTCCAATCATTGTTTTCCTTTCTTGACAAAATAATGATTTGTAGCCTCACCCACAAACTATGTTTCTCCACGCACTTTAAGTCCAGGCCAACCTACTCCTAGTGGGAGCGGAAGGTAGATGCATGTTTAGGTATATCTAAGACTTTTAGAATTGGAGAATCTTAAAACTAAAAAGTACAAAGCAAAAACCAAATTAACAACAAACAAGAAAACGCACCCTAATATACAATGCCATACAATAAAAAAAACAAAAAAAACTGATAAATATTACATAGCAGCTTTAATGAATATGATTAAATCCCTCTATAACGTATTGCAGCACCATGGCAAGGAATGGGTTATAAAAAGGAAACACCAACGAAATACCAAGAATCATGCAAACGTAAAAAGTCATTTCATTTCCATTGTTATGTCTCCTTTCAGGCCAGGGTTAGTCCCACACATCCCATGAAACCCGGCACATCACTGATCTGTTTTTATAATTCAGCAGGATAAGACAGCCAACAGGGCAAACAGGACCCGGCCAGCAAAGGGATTATAACAATGGATAAATACGCTGTCTGTAAACTATGTTTATAGGGTATTGTCGTAGCTAAGTGGCAAAAAGTCAAAAGGGAGCTAATTGTCATGAATAATGTTACATGTAAAAATACCTTTTTATAATACATGCTACATTGTACATGTGACTTTTTAGTGTAAAAGATATTTTTTTTTATTAATTGTCCTCTCTCCAGTGTGAGCTGCTGTGTTCTCCCCCAGTGTGAGCAGCTGGCTTCCCACATAGTGTGAGCTGCTGTGTTCCCTCCCGTGTGAGCTGCTGGGTTCCCCCCTAGTGTGAGCTGCTGTGTTCCTCCCCAATGTGAACTGCTGTGTCCCCCCCCCTCAGTGTGAGCTGCTGTGTTCCCCACGGTGGGAGCTGCTGTGTTCCTCCCCCAGTGTGAGCTGCTGTGTTCCCTCCCGTGTGAGCTGCTGGGTTGTCTCCAGTGGGAGCTGCTGTTTTCCCCTCAGTGTGAGCTGCTGTGTTCCCTCCCGTGTGAGCTGCTGGGTTCCCCCCTAGTGTGAGCTGCTGTGTTCTCACCCAATGTGAACTGCCGTGTCCCCCCCCTCAGTGTGAGCTGATGTGTTCCCCCCAGTGTGATCTGCTGTGTTCCCTCTAGTGTGAGCTGCTGTGTTCCCTCTAGTGTGAGCTGCTATGTCCCACCCAGTGTGAGCTGCTGTTTTCCCCCCAGTGAGCTGCTGTCGTCCCCACTAACCCACACTCATTGACAATAAAGGCGAGAGAACGGAATTAAAACTCCAATATCTTTTCTACTAAAGGGCTATGACAAGTGAAATACTACAAAGTAGCAGATATTAATAAATGCTACAACACATCATAAGTTAATTTATGTTAATATTCCCCTTTAGGGCTTTCACAATTTACACTATAAGAATGAGAGAATGTGATAGATCTATGTTGAAAGGGGTTAAAATGTCCATATCACAGCTGTTCTATTCTTGTGGAGGGATTCCCCCATATTTACCATATACTTTCTTATTAGCACCGTTCGTTGTTTTAAACTACAGGGACATGACAGAAGCAGAGAATATTTTTATAATGTCTGCATGATCCACAGAATCGAAAAATACTTCTAAAATGCTGGAACATAATGACTGTAAACACAGACAGTTACAGATAAAATAAACTGGATTGTAATTAAAAAAAAGGGCACTAAAGAGATAACGTGGGAAATGCTCCAAATCTGCCATTTTCATGCAAAACCCACAAGCTGGACTTTCTATCGCCCCTGTACATCCTCCGGAGGCAGAGCGGGTCTGTGTGCTCTTCACACAGCGAGACTCGTTCTCTATCCAGTGTCTGTAGCGTGCAATGAGGTTTGCTAACAATGAAAGTGAAGTCTATTTGTAGCAGAATATTTAATTATTGTGGTTTTATGTTAAATTCCACCGCACGTTATGAATGTAGAGGTCACGTATGTGAAGATGACACAGATTATCTCGTCCCAGGAAGCTTCTTGTAAAAGACATTGCTGCTCCCTTAACACTCTGCTTCTACTCAACTGGAAGCTACAGGCTATTTACTCGGCACATTGATGGCAAAACCTACAGTCTATTTACTCGGCACATTGATGGTAAAATCTACAGTCTATTTACTCAGCACATTTATGGTAAAATCTACAGTCTATTAACTCGCACATTGATGGTAAAATCTACAGTCTATATACTCGGCACATTGATGGTAAAACCTACAGCCTATTCACTCGGCACATTGATGGTAAAACCTACAGCCTATTCACTCGGTACATTAATGGCAAAATCTACAGCCTATTCACTTGGCACATTGATGGTAAAACCTACAGCCTATTCACTCGGTACATTAATGGCAAAATCTACAGCCTATTCACTTGGCACATTGATGGTAAAACCTACAGGCTATTCACTCAGCACATTGATGGCAAAATCTACAGGCAATTCCAGGGATAGGCAACCTTTGGCACTCCAGATGTTGTGGACTACATCCCCCATAATGCTCTTACACACATAATACTGGCAAAGCATCATGGGAGGTGTATTCCAAAACATCTGCAGTGCCGAAGTTTGCCTATTCACTTGGCACATTGATGGCAAAATCTACAGGCTATTCATTCAGCACATTGATGGTAAAATCTACAGCCTATTCACTCGGCACATTGATGGCTATATCTACATGCTATTCCCATGGCACATTGATGGCAAAATCTACAGCCTATTCACTCGCTACATTGATGGCAAAATCTACAGCCTATTCACATGGCACATTGATGGCAAAATCTACAGGCTATTCACTAGCTACATTGATGGCAAAATCTACAGGCTATTCACTCGCTACATTGATGGCAAAATCTACAGAGTATTCGCTTGGCACATTAATGGCAAAATCGACAGCCTATTCACTCGGCATTGATGGTAAAATCTACATCCTATTCATGGGCATATTTATGGTAAATATGAACATAGGTCAGTGCTATGCCAGCATTGTCCCATCGTCCAGTAGATATCGCCTTTCAACTACAAATCTCATGATCTTCAGCCTGCATTTAGATGGATACTAGCTAACATAAGACAATGGGAGTTGTAGTTTAAATAAAAACTGGAGACAAAGGTGGCAGTTGCAGAGTAAGTGGGTACATTTGGCTGTGTTTCTCTCTGGAGAGCCTGGGATGTGTTGGGGATCTAAATGGAAACTAATAAGAGCCATCTGTGTTGATATGACATTATATACCAAATCAGCCATCTCAGGACAATATATACCAAACATATATAATAAATCAGGTACATCAATTACTATTAGGATTATCCCATTTAAACTGACAAGAACCCCAGCAATTCTTAAAACAGACACACTGTAGCACTGATGAACAGAGCCCTGCAATGTGACACGTGTGTCCACTAGTCTCCCACACGGCCAGAATGTAAACATTGCCTCTATCAGCTCTGCATGTCTTAATGGAAGGTTTCAGGTGGATAAAGCCTAGAGCTCGGCAAACCATGATGATACATATATAAATGTTGCACACCTAATACAACCAATAACCAGCCCACAGGTCTGGATAAGTATGATGGGAGCCGCGAGAATAGCCCCACTAACTACAATTAATAATGTTACCATTTAACCTTCTTCCTATCACGCTGGGAATATCCAGAATCCTGGACACATATCTGTACCAGACATTGTATTGTGTGGCATGTGAGTACCCAGCTGAAGTTTTCCTGTTACTGCTCTAGTACCTCGTAGGGTTAATTCCCGCAGTGTAAAACAAAAATATTAACAACTTCTGTCTGAAAATTTGGAACCTTTCCTTATTTTATCTTCTTTGTAATCTTCATTCGCTCTCTCTACATGTGGAAACAAGGCTTACAGCTCCAGGCATGTAGCACCACGAAACGGGCAGGAAAAGTGCCGACAAGACTAGAATTAATTTGATTTTAAAAAAATAAAAAAAATAAAAACCTGAATACTTAATGTGAAAAGTAAAGTGACTATTGGACGGCAATGGTAGTAAATAATAATGAAGGAAAAGTAAAGCAGCTCAGCAGTGAGATGCAGAGACCATTTGATGCACCGGAGGAAGTGTTGAGTCCTTTTTCACTGGGAATTCTCTCCATGCACGCACACAATATTCCAAATAACAGAGAACTACTTATTCCAGGGATCAGGGAAGAAGGTCCTCTTAATATACATTATGTCAGTTGTTCAGTAAGTGAATGGGTGGATACAGCAGGGAAGTAAATGACCTTTCTTCTAACATTACATGGTGTCCTCTTGGCTCCTGCTGTGTTCCTCAAGTAACAGAAAACTAAAATCTTGTGTTTTGTTTCTCCTTAGTAAAAAGTCCTAACCATTCAGGTGTTGGGGAGGATAGCCTCTCTTGCCTTAACACCTGTCTAATGCTTGGCATAGGCAGACGGGCCACACTTTCAATGTCCCTAACCACCTGTCTCGGTTCGTTCAATGGCAGTAAATCTAAATTTGATATAAGCCCTCAAAAAAATAATAAAAAATGTAAACTAAAAACTTTCAAAATATGAGTTAAAACTACTTGTATGAGATGGCTTATGTTTTTTCTCTCTCCTACTTTTGAGAATTGTTTTCCCCTCTTTATCTAAGAAGAGTCTAAAATTCGTTCCCACACAATAATCTGTCCGTGAGATCCATTTTTTAAGGGAGAAGGGACAGGATGATCCCACCGTCGGAATCTTCTGCTCAGCAGATGGAGGGCGGAAGTTTTTCTCTTCCCATAATTGGGAGCAGCTTAAAGTTTCTGTAGAATTCTGGTGAAGGCTCCGGGGTGATGGATCAGAAATGGGTCAAAGGAGGGTACAGCTGGTGAGGATGATGACAAGAGGGTTAAATGGGGAAGGGGTAGATATTCTCATCCATACCGTCACCATTGCCCTTGTGTTCCACCATGCCCCCACTGAAGCTGGTTACACTTTAGAGTCTTGGCTGTGGGCCTGCCCGTTGCTGCCCTGTACTGTTAGACTTATTTCATCTTTCCTGAGCTTCTCTGGGTTGAGTGGTTCAGCCTCAGGACTGTGTTCACTTATTGCACTAGAGATCTGAGCATAACGGCCAGTCCGGTGCTCCAGCAGGGCGGGACCCCAGTCTTTGCTGGGTTTCACTGCATTCTTCAACCGCTGAAAAATCAGGAGAGAAGTTAGCGGATTTAAAATGATCACATACCGATATAGTTAGAACAGACAGACAGATAGATAGATAGATAGATAGATAGACAGATAGATAGATAGATAGATAGATAGATAGACAGATAGACATATAGAAAATCTCAAGGGGTAGACATACATTTTCCAAGCATGAGACGGACTTCTAGTTTGGGATTCTCTACTTCCCTGCATTAGATACCCATCAGTATACATGTCTCCATAAATACCATCATGCTGTTAGATGTAATCACTGACCTGACTAGCAAATACTGGATCATCTCTCACTCACCTGAAGAAATGTGTCGCCTTCCGAGCGCCAGATACAGATGACCGCATACAGGGGAATACAGATTACTGAGGAGAGGGCCATCAGAAATCCAATAGTGATAGCCCAGTCAGGGTAGACGTAGTTATTGTAGGAGATTGGCCGGTACTGGATTACAGTGAAGATCAGGATGAACTAGAAGAGAGCAGGAGACAATGCAGTTCAAGTCACAGTCCACTAGATGAGATTTAGGATAATCTAGACTAGGAGTAAGCAGCCAGTGACCTCACACTTTCCATCACACTCATCCAGAAAGAGTCATACACACTATTCCAAATTTCAGACCATTTTTTCCCATTCAGGGATTTTGTTCTACATTTCGCTTTCCCTCTGTTAGTTCTCCACAGTCCCAGTTTAGTGAATAAGCTTAATGTTAGTTGTGCGATAACAGTTTAGCAATATCAAGAAGGTCGTATACAGAACATGATTCTTATATTCTATAAGCAGTTGACATTCTCTGTAACACAAAATTCCAATCATCCAGAAAACAGATGTATTGTTGTGGGACGGTGACATTGATTGCAAACTCAGGGATATGAATAGAATTATGTATCTCTGACCTATGGGTGAATAATATATAACGTGACCTGGAGATATTTCTAAAACACTGGAACTGCACTATAGCTCTCAATCTGTACCTCTCCAGACAACACTGGTGTTCCTATAAGGCATATGAAGACAATTTGTCATTGCGATAGAATGGGTCTGATGTGGGCAGCCTAGTGTCAAGATTCTAGCACTTCTACCTCCTTCTCTTCCCCTCTTACTCTTATCTGTTCCTTTATTTCTCTCCCTCTTTATATCTACCTTCCTCCTTAAAATTACTTAGAAGTCTCTTTCATTTGAAGTTTGCTTTCAGATCCCAAACAAGTTGGTATAATTGTTGGTCTGTGCTACCAAGACAATGTTGCAGATAAAGGCCAATGAATGTCTGACTCGTTTGATTACTGATACGCAGCAGGTTAACCTTACACAGTGGTGGGAATGGGATTCCTACATAACATGGTTGTATGGGTTTATAATGACTTGTATTTGTCATGATGCATTAATGACTGCTATCTATATTTCTTTTATATTGTCTTACTTATGGTGAAAATGGAAAATAAAAAGTGTAAATAAATTTAAAAAATATAGAATGGAAAGTGTATTCACATTAAATTTCACATTTTTGCCCAAGGTAGTCAATCTGGAAGACTGTTTCCAGCATTTTGCTTTGAATTGGAATCCTGACTTTAGTGAATAACTGTCAGTATTCTTTGTGGCTTCCTTTTAAACTCTGACACTATCCCAAATAATTCAGAATAATTAACCTTTCATTGCTCTATAAAAGGTTACAGGCTTCCTACAGCAAAATACAAATTCTACGATCTACTGCAAATCGGTGGGCTGTCTGGGGATCATGGTAGAATAGTTTAACTAGTGAGCTGCAGGTTGCCTACTCCTGCACTACCACTCTCACTCTCTCAGCCATTGCCACTTTATGAATACTTACAAATATAATTCCAGGGGAGAAGAATCGCCAGCAGATTTGGAAGAAGAGCGGAGGAGGGAATCCCAGCATCATTTCGATGTCCTTGAAGTAGTTCCTGTGTCCTGGTGAAAGCCACATGGATTAAAGTACAATGTGAGATTCTCAGAAAAGAACTTTAATGGACTTTTTCATTAATGAAATAACAATAACAATAACATATAACCAAAAAATAAATAAATAAGTAAATAATTAACTCAACATTGTATTATAACTATATTCTATTAATATCTTGATAATCTAATACTTCGATTAGTCTAATTCTTACTCTTTAGCTAACGCGATAGTCAAAAATCCTAGTTCATAAATCGTGGATTGCCATTGTAGATCCAAACCAAAATGAAAAGGAAAGACTCATACTTGAACCTAGTTCAGCTGTGGTGCTTGTAAGTTCCTTCATAGTGCCTCATTAAACATAATCTAATTTTTTATGTTGGCATTAATCCCAATTTATTAGTAATTAGAATCCCATTATGGGTTCTCCAAACCTTAGTAGATACTCCCATCTACTTCCTTTTCCCAGAGTTCCAATAAGTAATCCGGGGCTCCCATATTTTTAGATATTTGTTTTTTATTATCTGCTCCCCAATATAATTCTTCCATCACTCTTGTGTTCTCGACACCCATAGTGTGATAGTCGGTATAATTGTCTTTTTTCAAAGGGTAGGTATTAAGGCATTCGCTTCATTTAGAAGGAGCCATAAAAGTTTCTGCTTAGTAATATCTAAGAACGAGTTTGGCCAACCCAACAGTATTGAGAGGGTGATAAAGTAAAAGGTAAGGGTAACACCTGTTTTATGTAGTCAATAACCTGTTGCCAGTATACTTGAATTTTTGGGCAGAACCACCAAATATGTTCATGGGTGCCTGTTTCCTGTCCACACCTCCAACACTCCTTATCTAAATTTGGAAAATATAGATTGAGTTGTGCCGGTGTTTTCTACCAACGTATTGCTCTTGTAACAAATTTCCCTTTTAGCTTGACTTACTGAGTTTTGCATTACTCTTTGAAAAATAAAGACCTGTCTTTAATT